AGAGTTAATCTCATCTCTAGCCTACAAATGCTGCAAATTCATTCTTCTGGCGCTCGCCGTGCTCGACCTGCACAAGGTTATGAATTCTAATTACTCATTTTGCACGAACAGTATTAGTTATAGCATAATTTGATATCGAGAGCAGGCTGCAGGATGAATACCAAAAACCACTCAACATTTAAGCTAAAAAAGTTTTTGAACGCAAAAAACCCCTTGGCATTGCTGCTAAAGATTACAAGAAATCTCAAATCCCTAAACAGATCACTGAAGAAAAAGGGAGAATGGGGAATATATGTCAATGGTAGAACAAAAACAAAACAGTTTTGAATATAAAAAGATATGCATACATTCGAATATGTAAAGCTTTTATCTATAAATATTTAACCCTCTGTTATAAGTAATCGTAAATACCTTCACACCAGTAAATTGTAAAGTAAAGGTAGACACCAGAGTATCCACCACTTCAGGACTCCAGGACTCCAGCTCCCAGCCTTCACAATTTCAATTTCCTGCAACAATTGATGCCGACTGATATGAGAATCTCAAGACCAACTGCAGTGAAATATATCCATAAACAGCATAAAATGGATACTTACAAATCTATCTGAAAAAGGAATTATTGAGCGGGATACGTGAACTCGCAAATCCCCTCCTTCACCACCGATGTCCTTCTTTTTCCCTAGGCGACCTAGTATTACTTGCCAATAAACTCGACTAACATAGTTCACAAGGACAGACAGCACTACTAAGCAGATTTTGGTTCACAAACCCAAGATCAATGATAAAGGGCTAAAAAAGACGCAGCATAAAGTATAACCCGAAAGTGATAGAACTGAGGAAACACAGATAGAACCAAAATCATTTTTCTAACAGTACCTGCGCCAAAGGATCAAAATAAAATAAGCGCGCATGCACACCACCACCACTTTCTATTATTAGTCCACGACCACAAGCTCTATTATTAGTCCACGACCAGAAGCAATATTCGCAATCAGCCGTGCAGCGTCACGTGTCACAGGAATTTGGAACTTGATTGAAGCCTATAGCCATTGCAAACTCGTGTAAATTTTGTTCGAAATAGTGCCAAAATATGGATAGTTTATGCGAACAAAAAACCACACATAATAATTCATTTAAGTGCATTTACCTGTTGTTCCTCAACAGCGCCAGGAATAAAGCGCAATGCGGGTTTAGAAATATCAATATACTGCTGAACTAAGGAGGATTAGGGTTTACGGTTTGACGGACGGGTACGGATCGCCATGTTCGACCAGCTGTCAGTGCTCGCCTCAAAATTGCCATAGCTTCTCTCCCAAGAGTCAACTGAAAATATCGATTGATCGCTGTGTTTGTTGTGTCATGGAAACTGCGTGTTATCTTATCAGGGCGTGTTGCAAATTAATCAGAGAATTTCCAAGTATCACATTTCTTTTACAGATTGAGTCTCCAAGTTTCTCTAACTGGCATCCGGAACGAGTGCACATTTACAATAGTAAAACATGTGAATTTTTTCTAGTCCACGTCAAACTGTGTTTAAATTACACATATGTGGAAAAGTTGTTAGATCTCATTAAGTTAAAAGATCTAACACCTCTTATTTCTGTGTATAACTTAAATATGCATTTTATGTTAAAAAATGCCTCGTATTTCACATGTCATGAAATAAATGGGGACCAAAAAAAAAAAAAGCATTTCCTCTACTTGTAGTATGATATGTAGAGTACTGCTTGATATCCAACGCTCGGAAAAATCTCTCAGAAAACATGTACTATAGCTGTAAAAGGACCAAGCTTCGGTAACTTGTGACTAAGAAGACTAGTAATAATTAAGAGAAACATATAAATAAATATTTGTCGTCCATCCTTCATTTGAAACTCTAGTGAATGAGATAAGAGAGGACTTTTTAGTTAAATAATTACCACCGACGCAATTCAAACCTTCAAATCTAGCCGCGATGGCCAACTTAGTATAAGTTGTTGGACGCATACATCTTCTTCCTAATAAACATTATAATTTAATTGGAATAATCACTGATCGATTCGGCGTTTGTAGATATAAAAAATAACCATAAGATACAGTGGAGCTGGTATGTGCATACTGCTTGATCGAACTAAGATACCATCTTAGTAATGTTGCAGTTACAAGTAAACGCTCAAAACCTTATTATTACCTAGGAAACCGATAGCCACAAAGCCATATGTTGTAGATATGTAGAGTCTGGTTGGGACCAGCCACCCTCAAGGGGCTCTGAATCCTCGATCATCATCATTCATCACTTACTGTGTCGTCCTTTGATGCTTACGACTAGGCAATTTAAGTTCCTATAACTTGTATTCTTTCCAATTGCTTTTTGATGGACCATCCCAACTTAGTTTGTCAACACGCATGGTTCTTTCTTGGAGTTTATTTTGATGTGATGGTTAACAACTATATTTCCGTTTTCGTGTAAAACTTTAAATCGCAATTTATTTGGCTTGAAAGTGAAGTGATATTGCACTATGGTTAGGGTTTGACAGAGGGGGGCGGAGGATCGCCATGTTCTAGCAGCTCTCGGCTACCTAATCATTGCCAAGGTTAACTGAAAGAACACGTGACAGATGATTAGGTGTATGATGAACATACACCATAATTTATGTGGTGAGGAAAAATGCTTCCTAATCTCTAACATTCTTGAACAAGCATAAAAATAAATAATTCAAACCATTTATCAAGAAAAAAAAACCTTGACATTTAGAAAAATTAAATTTACAAGTTTAGAGAGAGTTACTCAGGTGGTGACCATCACCATCACTTAAGGGCAATAAGCAAAAAAATTTCATGAACAAATGTGTACAATCTACCCTGTCATTTTGTGTCTATCTAGCAAAAGCCACAAAATTCAACCAGCTGTCCTCCCAGCAACTTTGAATGAATATGTTTTCATAGAAGGGAAAGTTACTTTTCTGTAAAATATTTACCTACCAAGTACCAACTCATCTTTTGAAGAAACCTTCTGGTGACGACTGATGAGCAAGTAAAATGTCGTTAGACTCGCCCAAATGGATGTTTGGTTAGTTGGAAATGTTTAGGTTATCGAATCTTTTACGGTGAAAATTAAATTTATCTTCTTCTAGTGGCTCGCTCTAAGTTGGACGAAATTATATTTATATTTGTTAAATTAATTTAATATTTGCAGTGACGGGGTTAAGATTTTCAAGTAATAGGGTCATAATTGACAAGAAAACTTCATTGAACCATTTCATCTAGCACTTTGTGGACACTTGTAGATTCTTGTCGACATTTACCAAAATCTTACGCCAACGTATGTCGCGACAACTACTATGATTAGTAGAGACCTTTTTGAAGGCAGCTTATAGGAAATTGTGAAGTAATGTAAGGCTGCCAAGACTTGTCAACTGAGACATTTAATGGAGCACTTGATTCGCACAATAGAGTCGTACACAATAAAAAGAAAAATAAAAAAAGAGACGCATGTTTGATAAAAGAAAACAAAATTAGAAGAAGGAGGAAGTTAAGATTTTAGTTTGCCAAAATTAGAAGCAGTGAAATATACAAAAGGATTTTGAAGCTGTTGGGGTAATTGACAATCAATGAACCCATATAGACTCCATCACTGACTATCTTGATCGTTGTTTGATCGCCCTACGTGTATTAGGACTTAACTGATAATTAGACTCGGACTCCGAATGTTTTCCCGTCCTAGGCACCAAACGGCTACTAGACTTGGCAAGTTATATAGTCAGTGAAAGATAGCAACCAACGTCTTTTGAGTTACAGGACCACAGGAACCCATCCACTCGGATTGTAACTTGTAAGACCATGAACAATTTATTCATGGAGAACTATCACCATCCTAAAATCCGTATACTAGGAGGAGGAGTAGTAGTAGTAGCTGGTACCAAGGAACCAATTTTGTGAAACTTTAAAAACCCACACCACTTTCTTTTTGTGATAAAGGCATATTCCTATCCCATCCCTCACTTTCTTGATTGCTTTGCCATGCTTTCCATTTGCATTATATGGAGTCAAGATATTGGCATATTTAGGTTATGTCACGAATGCAAATTCAAATATGTAGTCGGTTAAAAATAGCAAAAGCTAGTTGGTCAGAATAATGCTTTAGTCAATTGTTATGTTTTGAGAGTAATTACAGTCACATTTATTTATATTTACGAGATATATAAATGTGTTTTTTTTTTTTTTTTTTTGCTATAACGAGGGAGATATAAATTTAAATTTGATCCCACCCCTTCTTCAACTGCCTAGACAATTGCTCTTTTTTTTTCTTTTTTTTTTTCTTTTGGAACAATTTTTTCTTCAATATTGAAATTTGTCTCTAAGATATCGAACGGTAGAAATTGTTTAAAAAGTCAAACTACTTAACAGACTAAACTACTGACGACCAACACTTTGGGAGATGGAATAGAAAACGTAAGGTTATAAAAACACTTAATATATTATTTTTAGGTCTAAATGTTTCAGTCGAAGATTTTTAGTTTCTAATTTAATAAAGAGAAGATATTTGTTTAAAAATAAAATGAAGAGAATATATGGATACAATTTATATAATTATCAAATCAAGTTTTGTTTAATAGAGAAAAAAAGGAGAATTTATCAAATTAGAGCTCGAAGACTTTGATTCATTGTTGCTCATATAGGATTGTTGGAATTAAAGCTTGTTCTTGGTTAGATTGAGCTAGTACGTGTCAAAGACTATATAGCTTAACGGAGAAATCAATAGAAATTTTGATTTTGGACTTAAATTTTAACAAATTTTACCACAAGGATTTACAATCCGAATTTGTTTATCACAACAACTATCTTTTGCATACCCTAAATTAAATATAAATAGTATCTAACGAAAACTGACTACATAATGTACGATGAACGATCACGATCACGAAATCTCTAGAAAATGATTCAGCGAGGATTCTTTTCCAATAAAGTCAAGCTTCAGAAATCCATAAAAATAAGCATAGAAAGTGCTCCAAAGTCCAAACTAACCTCAATATTAAACCTGATTTAAATTCAGCAAAATATATACATTAAGCTTACTTTTCGATCTAATTACAGAAGAAAAGAAGAAACTTTTCACTTAGTGAAGAAATAAAGAGAAGATTATACAAAATGGACCCAAATTCGTACAAAACTAAGTTACATAGTGAAAGATAGGATTAAGTGATGACTAATGAGATGATTAATTAAATACTTAATACACCTTCTTAGTGAAAAGGCTGCGCAGATTAAAAAGATTACCACCAGCCCCACCACTCCCACCGATGCCATTGCCACCTCCACCGTTAACGCCGCCGCTAACACCACCACGAAGGTTGATGCTGCTGCTGCCACCGCCGACCCCGACTCCTACAGCACTATTCTCACTTCTACAGCTCAAATGGCTTCTGTACCCAATACACATCGGAACATTCAAATTCAAGACTCTAGCTTTCGAGCCACTGCCGCCGGCGACAACTGATCGGGCCGTTTTTTTGCTCCGGCGAATCTCGGGTACTTCTTGTTTTGTACCTTTTTCAGCATTTCGAGCTTGTGGTTCGGAGTTTCTCTTTGCAGCCGCGGAGGCTCCACGCCGGACCTGCCAAACAGGACTGCTCCGACCCAAATGGACTCCGGGCCGACCCGGACTTGCAGGCGGCCACTTTCTAGACTTCGAATCCCCCGTTGAGTTGCTCCTTGAACACGGCGCACTGTTCACCTTTCGGGTCCCCTGAGCTCCGAATGGTTTGGGTCGGGTATACGCGTTTCCGGCGGATCTACTGCGCGAAAATGGCCATATATTAATGTTCAGCTCGGCCGAGCTCGCTCCGCTCCTGCCGCCCTTCCGCTCTTTCTTCTTGTCTTTGTCTTTATCTATCTCGTCGCCTTTGACTGATTTCTTCTCCCCCTTCTTGAAAATGTCTCTCCAACGCTTAGATGCGGTTACCGGAGCAGCTGACAACTCGGGTCCTGGACCCGGTTCCGATTCCGGGTCCGGTTCCAATAAGCGTTCTGGGTCAGGCACAGGTGGTAGCGAGATGGGTTGTGTATTTGGGTCGGAAGATCTTGGATATGGGTCGGGTGGGTCGGAGTTGTTAGGGAGAGGCGGGGGGAGGAGGTGGAGAGGGAGGAGGACGCCATCGACAAACAGCTCGTCGGCGGAGAGGAGATTGGGCTGAGGGAAAGAGGGGTTTCTCCAGAACTCGAACTCGGGCGAGTTGGAATCGGTGCTGGTTCGCCTTCTTCGACTGCTGCTCTGTGAAAGGAGGGGTTTGAATTTGGGGCTGTGCTCCATTGAGACGGAGATTTTGGAGAGAGAGAGAGAGAGAGATGAGTGGAGTGGGAAGTTTGTTTTGTTTCCTGATGAGTCGGGAGTAAGCGATCTCAAGATATTCACGTTGTATTCTTTTTTTTATTCAAATTACAACACATGTATTTAGTTTTTTTACTTAATAGATACGCAGAATGATAAAATAATGTGACGCTATTCTTGTCACATATAAATTTCTCGATAAATAGAGATGCGAAAGAAACTTACATGATAAAACAGTAATGCTAAAATTGTGACATCTCAAACTTAAATTTAATAGCAGAAGAAGAAAAGTTGGATGATAACTATTTTATTTTATACAACGATATTTTACGTTAAGAGGCTATTCAATGTTGAGGTCTATTTCTCTACGTCGAAGTGGCAAGCTTCTAACTGTAAAGGAGAATAATGGTGATGTCCCTTTTAAAAGTTGGACAATGACTAATGCATTTGGTGAATTTAAAGTGTTCGGTATGACGGTTGAATCCGAAGGCATGCCACATATTTATTATAGATTGTATGACTAAACGCATTATTTATACGGACACGTAAATGCGAATTCATTTTCGATTGACAGGTAAAATTTTCATTAACTAAAAATGACTATTAAGCATTCCTTACGTGTATAAGCAATTGATTGACTGATACGAACATTTCTTCCTCTTTGTTAGCGGTAATTCAGTAACCAACTATGGTTTTCGGATTATGATTGGAGACGAACCTTAATACATTATGGTACATCCTAATGTGAAATTTGGTAACCAACCATACCACTACATTTACATCTTTAATTTTAATCTTCTTTTTATAGAATTTTTTATGTAAACCTAATTAATCGTTCATGTACATCTTTTCATACGCATGCCTAATTTAGCTTTCTTCAAGTCCAATCCTTAATTATTCAACGACTTCAATATCTTTCTAATTGGATAGAAAAATGAAAGACAAGTTAGAATTCTCCATCAACAGTCATTAGTTTTCCAAACCATTTTTTAGTGAATGATGATAATGGATTAGGCCAGTCAAACTACACATAAGACTTGGTTGTCGGACTACAAAGTAGTTCTACGCTCTAAACCAGCACAAGGCGGTGAGAAAGAAGAAATAACCAAAACAATTGATACAATATCAAATTATATACTGCATGTATTTGATCAAAAATCTACAATGCACTAGAATATAATGTATTTGACGACTCAATTTGCATAACTGAATTTTGACAATCTCAATTTTGATGTTCAAATATCAGTATATCCCATATGTGTCATAAAAATCTCAATATATATATATATATATATATATAATTTTGATGATGATAATCCAATTATTAGCAAGGTAGTGACAACATATATACAAACAAAAGTGGATTAAATAACAACATCACAAATAATGTGGACAATATTGTGAAATGAGGGCAGATGTGGGGTTTCAAAAAAACCAAGTTGCCTTACCCAAAATCATTTCAAAGCGTTGACATTTACCACCACTGTTATTTCTCCCGGTTCATAAACGATCCGTTGATCCAAAATCATAAAAAACAATCATATCTCTCATAATACTAGATTAATAACATATGGTGTTTACTGCAGTGACATAAAGTAATGATACTTATGCACCCTTGCGAATAGTTAGTATCGTTACAATCAAATAAGAAAGTGAAAGTGGCTTGTAAAGGGAGTTCACGATCACAAACATACATATTAGAAAGGAAAAGACCCAAACTAGTCACAACATCAACCACAAAGTTAGTCTATAAATAGACATGGCTCCATGTATGCACTAAAAAAAGAAGCCAACCGTTGAATATCCGCAACTGTGTCCCGAATTCTCCAAGGGTCTTACATAAATAACATGGATGATTGTACGTAGTATGTTTCTGTTTATTACGAACGAATGAAGCGTGCTTAGAACTAGTCCAAGGTTTTTGGGGTATCTGATAAGTTTTCTAGAAGAAGTTTTAGCATACAATTATACAAACATCCGCATTCGACAGCACTTTCCTGTGCCACAGTACTCACTCACGAATCCAGATGTTCGCATGCAAGATTTTCTCTATTCATAGTATAAAACTAAGTAGCTAATTAAGAAATATGTCTTTAATTAATTAGCTAGTTATCGTTTTATCAGCAGTTGACTTGCATTCTTCAGCATCTCAGCTGGCTCTGCGGACTGTAATAATCCACAAAACATGCTGAATATCCACCAACCATCAAACCAAACGAACACAAGTCCAAGACAAAAAACAAATGTGAAGTAGGAAATAAATGTAGAAACTTATCAATTCAGTTTTTGGCATATCTAATCGAGAAGTTTTTTAGTGTTGCTGTCACAAATTTATGATTAGGTTGAGACTAAGCAATATATAACAAATTATATATAATTTTATGTTGTTTACTCATATTATAATACGTGAACTAGTAACACTACGTAAAAGCATTTATATATATACTCCATGGAGTCGTGGCAGTATCGAAACACATGCAATAGCCATCCTCATCACACCACAACATGACAACAACATTTCGGGTGGACCTCATCACAAACAATAAACCTTTGATGAGATGACGGCTAAGTTGTTGTGTGACAGTAATGGTGGCGAACTCTGTGGGCCTGGAATCGAGCATATATAGCAATCGAGGATTTCCTTCTTTCGATCTCTTCCTCTGTTAATGGCGTTTGTTTGTAGGCAAAATGATAAGCCATGTGAACAACCTATTCCATCAATGCAACGGGTCCCCTCCAAACAAACCTTGATTATGGTTAGACGTCGCTCACATAGATCTGATTAGAGGCGGATTTACTAAAGAACCATGATGGTTTGAGACCCATTGATGGTTGGAAAAAACAAGAAGAAAAAATGCACGAGAAGATCTTCGAGGACTCAAAATATAGTACGGAATTTAGGAGTTCTTACTAAGTGTTTGATGTAGTTAACACGCATTGACAATGTTCTGCAGGGATCTATAGGCATATGTCGACAAGCTCACTTGAAAGTTGTCATAACCTTTTGACAAGCTCGCTCAGAAGTAGTCGACATATGTTAATAGATTCGCTCAACACCTGTCAGCATCTATTGACAAACTCACTAGAAAGTTGTCAGCATCTGCAGATGAGCACACAATGTAATTCAGTAAATGACTACATGTTCATCCCGTGCACTAAGACTCTTTAAAGTTAAGTTTCTAAATCTGCCACTGATTCAGATAATAGACACTCAATTTGATTTGAGCAACGATTAAAAAGCGCCTAGTGTGACTCACATCAAATACACTTACACTCTTTAAAGTTAGAAGTCCCTACCAAGTTTAAATCATTAAATAATTAGGCTTAGTAGGTACTAATATCTTTGAGTTTCTAATGGATAGGGTAGGCTAGGTTATATTCTATTTAATTAAAAAAACAAATGCAAGTTAGGATTCCTGAAAAACGAAGTCACAGCCTGTCATGAAGCACAAAATGTCGAAGGCTAGGCCTCCAATATCTTTACAAGGACATGAACACATGCTATAGAATGTATGGTGACTATAAAGGGGTCCATATTGCTTAAATTCTAGCTTTTGATGGTTTTACAACTTTACAGTTTAGGTGAACTATTCTCCATAGTCCCCACAAATTTTACTATATTTGGGCTTTGACAACTAATACAAAACAAGTGCACAAGACACAATCTTCACATCTCTCTCTTTAATATGTTTCCTTTTTATTTTTGGTGATGGGGAAGAAAAAATATAGATAATTTCACATGATGTTGTCTTTCCTAATAGTGATGGAATTAACTTTCCTTAGAAGGAAGATAGTGGTCCCCAATTCATCTCTAAACTCTCTTGTGACTAAAGACACTACGCGACTTGTATCTATTGGACATACAATACATTTTATGAAAACGGGTTAGAGTTAATATTCGGATCATACATTTATTCTTTACAGAAAACAAGTCCTATTACTAGCAAGAATATAGAGTTCTTAGTGAGTAGAAGATCTTTCTTTTTTTTTTTTTTTTTTACTTTTCGAACAAAAGTAGAAGCTCTTCCTTGACCATTCATGGCTTCTTCAGGTAGGTTTTCGATCATTATCTTCATCTTCTAATGCTTCTATCAGTTACAAAAAGCTTTATATAGAGGTGATGGTAGTTCACTAAATCTTCAACTTAGCCTAACAAACGTGATTAAGGATTAGCTAATGGAATAGGGTTTATTATACTTGTTACAACTGTAGCAAGCTAACGCTTTGCTGTGTGAGAAAAACCAACTCATAGTAGAGAGTGATCGCTCAGGGAGAAATTTACTTATAACGAAGATGGCACTACAAAGGTATTCCAAATTAACCGAACAATTGAATGTGGAAATTTTAAATTGGATTGAGATACCTCCAAAGTAATGTTGCAGTTACAAGCTAATGCTCAAAAGTTCAAAACCTTCTTATCTAGGGAAACCGAGAGCCACAAAGCTTAGTAGAGTCTTGTTATGATGCTTACGACTTGTCGTACGTCATTTCGTGTAAAACTTTAAATCGCAATTCATTTGGCTTGAAGGTGAAACGATATTGTACTACGCTTGAATATCCAATCTTTAGGGTTTAGGGTTGAAAGCAAAACGATATATACGAAAAAGAAAATACAATCATGCGTCGATCATAATGGGTAAAAAACAGAAGAAGAAGGGACACTGAGATTGTGCCACGTAATGTAGATGATGAAGTCAATGGTGGAAGACGACGATGAAGCTGATCTAAGGGACGAGATTGAACGAATACTCAATGTATTTGCTACGTTCCCAAGCAAAATGCTTGGGGACGTAGCCTAGCCCGATTTATGGTCAACCTTGTCATCTTTTGCTCTTGCTTGATTTTGTTGAGTAAACAATGCTCATGTTTAATGTGTCGTAACCCGATTTAGGGTTAACCTTGTTATGTTTTTTTTGAGCTTTGCTTGATTTTAGTCTAGCAAACAATCCTCATTGACGCGATATCCATTTTTGTTGGATCAAGAATAATGTTTGTTGGATCAAGAATAATGAAGGGAAGTACTTTCTTAGACCCCCTGTTTATTTCTAACCGTCAAATTGAGTAATTAAATCCAGCAAAAACAACGAACAAAATTAGACAAGTGTGTACTTGTACTTCAACGACATATCCTTTGGCCACACTTCGGTGCAGAGAAATGTAGCAGCGGAATTTTCTTCAAGGCAAAAACATGGGGTGGATACCGTGGGTTGACAAATACCCAAATGTCTTGCACTTCGATGCAGAATTTTCTTCTACATTATCGTCCTTGTACAAAAAGTCACTATTCTACTCAAACGCAAGAGAAGACAAGGATGCTGAACGAAATCTTGAACTGCTTTCCCAACGTTATATGATATTTCACAAGCAAGGGGTAAATGAAACTCTATGCTTGAACAGAAACTCCGAGTTCCAAGAGTAGCGTGTGGCTGAGAGCGTTGGATGCTTGGCCGTGAAATTGAATGGGACCTGCAACAGAAAATTTTCAGATGAGTTCCAGAGAAATGGAGCTGCGATTAAAATGGAAATCACAATGTAGACTCATGGCTAAGAATAATCGGCGATAGTTTAGTTGGACTTAGATAACCCAAGGCGAACCATGACAGGTGGAGAAAACCAAGACCGAGAAAAGGAAAAAACTCATGAAGTTCATAGAATATTGGTATTCAAAACCCACCAGGACTGATGTAACGGTTGTTGATAGCCCAGTCGTTCCTCAGGGATGCAAATTTCTTGAATGGTGCACCTGAAAATTCAAAATAAATCAAGATTTGAGTGTGATCGTTATAACATAATACTTGAATCACACTATGCCTAAAAACAAAAACATAAATACTCTCGGAGGAATCTTTACCTTCAAGTTCCACCATTGCCTTCTTGATGACAGGCTTGAACTTGCCTGGAAAACAAATTCAACATTCAGAAAATCTCGAATAATTTAGAAGAAACCGGATCAACAAGATACATCCAATACATCATATAAAAGATCCTAACTACTCTTTCCAAAGGAAAACTTTTGAAAAACACAGAAGCCCATTTATATAGTTTAAAAGAAGACTGCCATTATTTTTGGAGAGACGATGATCCGATGGCATGCCTAGGACCCAGGAAAAGAACCTACAACTGCACAATAATAATAACGAAAGATTTACTATACCATGTCTCCTTTCCACGTCCATTAATGAAGTCAATGCCGTTCCACCAACTGTCCATTCTTCCACAGGAGCATCCAAATTCCCAACCTGGATCCACGTCACGAAAAATTACATGCATAAAAAGACTTAATAGTCAGAAATAATGCAACTATGAGTCTATGACAATGGAAAATGGAACCAACAGCAACTAATACAAGCCTAATTAAAAAAGAATATAGTTTGGCAGACTGAATAAATGAGATATAGGATAGAGGTACAAACCGATGATATCAACCCAGTTTTTCCACTGTGAAGGAGAGCTCCAGCGGCATAACCCAATGCATAGCAGTAGGTAGAATCAAAGTTGGTTGGTAAACCACATCTTCCTTCATACCTACAAAAAAATATTGACAACAGGTGAACAAATAGGGATGCAAACATTACACAATATCTCCGATACACAACCACTAAACCTGTATCCAAAATAAAATGATCAATCCATGCAGTGAACGAATCAGTTACCCTCAAAAACCCAAGTGCCCAACACATGGGATGCACTTGCATTTAATCATTGAAACCACATTTAGCCAAAGGATTATGTCATTAAGTTAAAAATTAAGTACCCGAAAAAGTGAGACTGTCCTTGGAACTGGCCATTATATGAACCTTCCTGCCTCCTCTTCTGCAAGTCTGTCTCAACCATTTGAATAAGCATCTTCTCTGTTTCTATTTTGGCAACCTAGTGGTAAAAATAAAGATTAGCATGCATAATGTGCCCAGAAAATCACTGAACTGATTTAAGTCAAATTGGAAAATGAAAAATCTACCTGAACATTTCCATGAGGATCTCTTTCAAGCATCAACTGCTCTTGGATTGCTTCAGGTAGGAAATCAAAAAGCTCTAGAGACTGGCTTGTAAGTTTCTTTTTCCACAGCCCATCTTCATCTACAACCTCACGGGCCAGAATTTCATTCAATTCAGCAATAAGTTGCTGCACCTACAAATGGCAAGGTCACAAACATTATATGTTAGTCAATGCAGGTATTTGAGTGTGCATCTATGTGTGAAACTGTAGCACACTTGCTTTCCAAGTACAAAAAGGACTGTGAAGAAAGAAGGGTTTAAAGATATTATATTAAAGATCAAGAATAATACCTCAGGAATGAAATCAATTAGACCTTCAGGGATAAGTATGACACCATAGTTATAACCAAGGTCAGCACGCTTCAAGATTACATTCACGATGTGGTCAGTGACATTTTTCAGCGTCAGCTTCTTTGCAGCAACCTGAAGAAAGATATAAGTCAGATGTATTCGGCAATTGGATATCTTTTGGTTGCACCAATATATTACTTTGCACCATATAGTTAAAGGTCTTTACTTTCCACATGCATACATAACGGACATCAGAAAGTAAGTGTCAATCAAGTTGTGACAGAGACACCAATGCTTATTGTGTTAATGTTCCCACAACACCAATTTAATTAATAAAAAAACGATATAGGCAAATTGAATATGAAAAAAAAAATATATATATATAATAAAAGTACCTCTTCTCCAATAATTGTAATGTTTGGATGAGTTTGCAAAGCACATTCTAATGTAATGTGTGAAGCTGCACGTCCCATAAGTCGTACAACTGCAGACAGATTCACATACACCCAATTATATTGTACACTGAAAACATAAGCGTAGAAAAATTAAGTATGTAACTAGCAGAAATGTCATTTACTTACAATGATAATATTTTCCAGGTTGACCGGGCATCTGTCATGACATTGCCAATCATTTCTGCATATATCTGCATAAAGTTTTTAACAGCCTATAACAATTATGCTGAAACAGTGAATTTTAGCAAAATGTATCAAATAAGGTGTCTAAATGCTAATTGAACTCCTGTGATTAGGAAGAATTTACATCTGATATCGTAGGTATAGGAATTAAGGGGGCCTTCATGTTTGTGATAGGAAAGATGAAAATATATAACAATACAACATGGAGGTGTACAATTTGAGTTATCAATTATTATTAATGGTGAAAAAAAGAAAAAAAGCTCGAAGTTATAGTCACCACCTTGCAAGCGGTGTCAAATCCAAAACTTATGGGGACCTCTTTGCATTTCAAGTCACCGTCAATGGTTTTGGGGCAACCTATCACACGAGTTTTCAAGTTCTTCCCCCTGGTTTAACAGATAAAACAAAACAATTACAAAACCGGAATTGTTTGTCTGAAAAGACTAACGCTGCGCAAAAGAATATGTTTAAAAAGAAGAAAAAGCACAGAGTGAGTGCAAAACAAAGGTAAACTATTCCTCTCACAATTAGATCAATGGGCTTCACTTTTCGAATGACAAGTAAACTAATTCCAAAGAACTTCTTCACAAGATACCTGAAGTTTTCAGCAAGGAGGCAGGCGTTTGTGTTTGAGTCATCTCCACCGATAACAACAAGCCCATCCAAATCAAGCTTCACAGCTGTTTCTTGTGCTTGTTTAAACTACAATTCATATCCATTTTAAATGGTTAGACAAATATACTTAACATGAATTTCCTCACAAACCAACCAAGAGTCACCTGTTCTGGAGTTTCAATCTTGTCCCTTCCACTGCGAATCATATCGAAACCACCCTGGAAAGACGAAAATATCAACGACACGCCAATTATCTTCTTGCCAAAATGCAGCTACATATTATACAGCTGCGTATACGTAACTAAGTACATGTGCTATGCACATTGCTCTCAAGAATTTAAACATAGACACTCACATATCCTCATGCCAGATAATTGATCCCAACAACAATTAACTTGAGGTAAAAGATTCACAGAAGGTAAAAATTCACGCTCAAAACACTCACCTGATTTCTGTATGGATAAATATACTCCGGGGTAAGTTCGATGTATTTGTTTTTCATGATCCCAGCAGGCCCGCCCCTAAAGCCATACATTGTGCTTCCTTTGGCGCGGTCTTGCAAGTAATCTAACACCAAAACACCGATCGAATTCAACCAAAATTCAAAAAGCATATGAAGTTTAAGAAACATACAACAAATTGATAATTAAGACACTCACCGAAAATTCCGGAGATCACGTTGTGCCCTCCGGGCGCTTGGCCTCCAGATAAAACGACACCAATCTTCAACTTCTGCTCTGGTAGACCCGAAACGGAATCACTTGGCGCCAGCAGTGCAGATGGCTGACCGAAAACATTAGGAAACAACTTCGCGATCTCCTCTGAGAAACCGAAACGAGAGTCGATCAAAAACGGAATAGAAAATCCAAAAAACGCATAGATTCTACAGCCTGTCTGATCGCTAATCTAATCAGCTAAAATTAAACTTCAAAATCTAATCTTTATTTATCATGATTTTCGGGGCAACAAAAAGAAGTCGAATTTCTCCGAGATTAAAAGCCACAAAAAACGCACGGATCCGAGCACGGAAGAAGAAGAAGAAGAAGAAGAAACTGACCTGGATTGCCGGCGGCAGAGCTGGCGGGACCTTCCACGACCTTGAAGGGCTTTTTGAGCACGGAAGGGAGAGGAAGCTCATGGTCGATACGACTGGCCTGGACCTCGCTGTAGACGGAGGCGAATCGGCCGGTGACTGGAACTGCCTCGACGGCGGCGGCGGCACCGCCGTTAGCAACCAGTGATGCTGGAGCCATGGCTAAAACACAGACAGTGTCTACGAGATCTTCGAGTTTTTGGGTACGACTGCGAACGGAGCGTGAAATCTATCGGATGGCGTTTGACTGCTGACAGTGAGAGCGTGGGTGTTTAAACGTGGGGTTGACAAGGGTACGAACGTCAGTTTACATCATTGGACTCTCAGCCGTGGAGCGGAATGTTAGGTGGCTCATTGGAAGCGAGGGTGTTTGGGGAATTGGACGGACCAGATTCACGGATGTGGTGGTGTATGGTATGTTATGGTGGTCTAGACGATAGTGGATATTGGGTCGCGGGTTCTACGTAGGTAGACACCGAACGTTCCGGCGGTTGGTGGGCGCCAGAGATCCAGACGTGCTTCGGCATATTCCGGAATCGCGGATCTTTCGTTTGATTGGCAATTGGGTATAAAAACTATAAGGCCCAATTATTTGGGCCAGCATTTGGGTTACCAAATTATAGGCCTAATTCAAAACCCAAAATTTGTGGGTTGGAGTCATAATTTTATCTACCGTGAGTACAAACGTGTTATATGAGAATTGGACCTCGAGTGCCCCTTATTTGAGTTGGCAACTTTAGGCGGCACGGGGTAGGATAAGTAATAGTTTAAAACTTATGATATTATCTACATTAACAGTGTGGGAGTGTTGGTTAAGTTTTACAATAGGTCAGCCATAATAATTTGGTTGAAATTTGACTTTGGCGATAATCGGACTTAAGACATCTTATTTATAAGTAAAGAAGAATACTACCAAACTAAGAGCGGATCTACCTTGGGGCATAATGAGTCAGCTGACCCTCCAAGCTCAGAAATCCTCCATACTATTGACATCAATTGACATGCTCACTTAGAAGTTGTTGGCATTTGTCGACGGATAATATTTTCTAACATTCGATAAAATGCCAATTTACATGCTCAACTGCACACTACTCTTACTAACCCACACAATAATATTTTCTACATTCGCCACTGACTGGATCGTACGACTATAGTACTAACTAGTGGCAGATAAACAGTAATTTAGCTATTGAAAGGCTGAAAGAATGGAAACTCATGAACACATGTGAGGCAATAAGTCTATCAAAGATATGGTGATGATTAGCCTACATATCACTTTAATCTCAGGCTGTTATGCTTTTTGCTTTACTTTATCAGTTACTAATCATGATTATCGCAACACCCTGTTCTCGTTTTAACAACTTGATTACCAGTAAATGATGCTTTTTCTACGTATGGATTAAGGATGATCATCCACACTAATCCAAACTGGTAAGATCACATGCTAAACACCTCGTATTAACGCTTTAATTTGATTTATTTTCTTCTTTTGAGCTAGCTATGTGTCCAAATTAGAGGGCGGAATCCATAAAAGAAGATTGTCACCAGATGTGTAAATCTCTGTCTGATTTTCTGCATAATTGGATTGGATAGGGGCAACGTGGAATCTCCCCACTCAAGAAATTGGATATAATTGAATTTGATGCAAGAAGCTCCATTCACTTCATTTTATCATCTAAAACTTAAAGGAGGCTCTAGCAAAAGCACTTTTTGTACCTAAACCATATAAGCACTTTAATCAATAGGGTTTCGGGGTTGTTTGGAAATTTTTAGGAAAGAATTATTCTCATCTCGTAAGTGCTTTTACTAGAAGGACGTCAAAAATTTCGTAAAAGAATCTTCCTCTTTTAAATGCGTTTATGGCCCAAAACCATTTTTAGTATGTTCTACCTAACTGCTTTTGATCTTCGAGCCATTCTAAAACACTCTAGGCCTTTTTGACGAGTCAAGATTTTCTCTGGAGTTCTGTGTCTGAAGCCAAAAGGGCCGAAGGTCCAGATGGTTGAAGAGAACGAGAGATCCAGATCTTCGGTTTGTGCAGATCAGCCAACGAATGGACCAATGATGATCGCAGGATTTAAAATGAGTGGTCGGATCTCTGGGTCTATCAACTCCGAACACAGAGATCTAGAGAGTACCTCAATTCCTTTTTGACAACCATGTCTTTATAAATCATAGAGCACTTTCTAGAAAAAGAATACGAGATGTGTTTCTTCTTCTTCTTCAAGAAGAAACACTTCAAAGTGATTTTTCTATTAAAAAATTTCGACATGGTTCTAGTATGAGCACTTCTAACAAAAGTGTTTACGAGCAATAATACTTTTTACAAAAGCAGGTCTTCCAAACAAACTCTCGTGGAAATGGAAGCACTACTTTTCGTGTTAAACAAACCCTTCAAAGTGATGTGCCAACTAATAGTAATTAGACCCTATAAATTTAAACTATTAAGCATCATGATTACTGGCTCGATTAACTAAAAGAATGTCCCCCATTTGCCTCCTTGCATTCACCAATTAATCTTTTAAAATGTTATAAAACGAAAGACACAATCATGATTAACAAACCCCACAATTGCCAATTGTGCTTAAATCATTAATTTGGCATAAAACTTCCTTCAAATCTCCAACTCAAACCATGTCTAAAAAGAAAGCCTCCTCCAAGCGGCAACAGAGAGTATGCAGGGCATTGTGTTGCAGCAGCTGCCGGCTTAGCGTGTCTTCGTCTAGCTCGGAGGAAGTAGCGAGCTCTAGTTCCGATAGGTACCCTTCGATATCAAGCCTATCGCATGCCATGGTTCAAGAGAGACTCGACCAGATGATCAGGGAAAGGCAGGAGGGATTAAGGCATGTTGATCATCGGAGAAGAAAGCAGAGAGCTGGTGACGATCGTGATCAACTTCAAGCAGGAGGAGGGACTAAATTTGTTGTAATGGTTGCAATGGAGAAGTGTTCTTATGATCCGAGGGAGGATTTCAGGGAGTCCATAGCGGCGATGATAGTGGCAAACCGGATAGAAGAGCCTAAGGATCTTCGTAGCCTCTTGAATTATTACGTTTCGATGAATTCCGATGAATATCGTGGAATTATACTCGAGGTGTTTCATCAAGTTTGCTCTGATTTATTCTTATGTAAATTCCATTAATTGTTAAGCAGCACATTGTAAAAGTATTCGAGCATAGTATAATTTTCTATTCCAATGCAAAAAATGGAAAGCAGATTCAAACTTGAGTGCAGAGAAGGAAACACATTGCTCTTTCTAATTTCTCGATATTTTAAAACGAATACACAATAAAATTGTGACATTATATTGGGGACAAAAGAAGAAGAAACCAACTGAAATATTCAAATGATAACTCAAATCCAACAATAACTTATGCGGCAAGATTGTGAATTTGAACCACACATTCTGCCCCGACGAAAAACATATGTGATTCAATGCACCTTACGCTTGCCCCATATTGAACTGTTCTTGGAAAAGCTGAGAATGCAGCGGAAGGGGTTCAAAACCCAGGCATCAATTTTCTGAAACATGACTCTGAAAGAATGATACATAGGAAACTGCAGCAGGCCGAAGAGAGGGACTGGGAAAAAGGCAATGGGGTAAAGTAAAGACTTGGTCCATTTCTTCTCGACACGAATCAAGAGCAAAATGGTCGCGGCAAAGGCAAGCATGGTTGTTGCCATGGACAAGAAGAGCAAGACGAATCCAGTCATGATCTTGCGAGGAAGGCTGCTGATGAAAAGCGGATACTCGAGTGGAGAGGAGAGGACAGAGAGAAAAAAAGCCACTGAAGACAATGAGCAGGCGATAGCCACAACGTCCATGCAAGTGAAGAGCAAAAAGAGAGGATCGTCCTGGAAAATAGGACGGCCACTTTGATCATTACCCCCGGGAATGGCGTAGGCGGCTGCAAAGACCACAGTGGCCACTAGCACCGCCACGGTTGAGCATGACTGAGCCGTTTCTTTTATCCATTCTTGTGCCGATTCCAGAAGCTCGTTATGTTCATAGTAGAACAGCTCCTCTGCTGTCAGTTCCTTCTTGTTGTTGTGCATGCTGTAATGAGGCGGTAGTATCTCTTCCACACGCTGACATAAACACAGTAAACATTTATCAAGTCGACCTACAGACTCGGTAACATATGCATTTGTTTGACAACATAAATCTAGCAAGTGAACATTACCATAAACCAGCGCAGCTCTGCTTGCAACTGCATGGCAGGACCAATTAAATTCTGAGACAGTGCTATAGTGTAGTAACTCCTATCTGCAGCCTGGTGCAGTATGGTGTTTCCATCGCAGTCGATCCTCTCATTCAGCCTCGCCAATACAGTTGGTTTGCTTCTGATAAGATTAAGAATTGGTATCTGACGGTACTTAATTGCCAAATGCAAAATGTTGCGTTCGTTATAGTTAACGTGCTCGACCGCTTGAGGATGCTGCTCAAGTATCTCCTTCACGAGGGGAACAGTTCCTGCGATAGTTGCTATAAGCAATGGGGTTGAGTTGTAAACTTTATTGGTTGCCCCCTCTTCCGGTTTGATTGCTTCTGCAGCTGCCTTTCCCTTTTCACCTCCATCATCGCCATTTCCCATCTCTGTTTTAGCTGTTTGTGCGGCTGCCTTTTCCCTTTTTCCTCCGTCATCATCTTTAAAAAGTTTTGCCACTGACCCCAGATAAATGGTCTTGGTTTTTGGTTTCCTGCTATTATGTAACCAAGAATGGTCCGATTTGACAAGCAACGGGATGAGTTTCTCTAGTGATTTTTTGTTTTTTTTGTCCTTCCAGATTTTATATATTATGCCGCCCTGCAGGCCTCCTGTTTCAATCCATCACAAGTTAAGCATATGTATACATTAACGTGTCATAATTGGAACGTTGTTATCGGCATTCCAACTAAGTCACCATGCACTCTTCATGTTCTTGTGTAAAATCATAAAAAAATAAGTGCACAATGACTTTTCTAGAGTTCCAATAACAAGAGTTTTGAAGAAAGTTTAGGTTCCACCATAAAACCAATTGACGCCCACATATTGCCAAGAAATATGATGGGAGGAGAGACCTTGCATGGGCTTATAAGAGGTTAGGCTATTCCTTATATTGCCAATTGGTTTTATGGTGGAACTCAACTTTCTTCAAGTTTGTCTTGATGACAATGCCGCGGCAAAGGCAGAAGGTAAACAAACCTTGAGCAAGGGAGTCCCATAGTGAATAGTATGCCTTCGCAGCAAATGCTAAACATTTTATGCATGCAACTTCATTAGGAACATCGAAAAAACCCAATTCAAGAAGCGCTTTTGGTAGCTTGCAGTTTAATTTAATCGAAAAATAAAATTAGATTACAAATTTGGTCACCTGCAAGCTTGTTCCGAAAGATGGATTGACGGGGATGGTTGCTACCGATGTTGCTCTCCACATCATCCTTGTGATTTGGTGTGACCACATCTCCTCCACCGGGAAGGCCTGCATATAATTATTGAGATTACTGCTTCAAAAAGAAACGTGCACGCACAAACATACACGTATACATAGCAGTAGAGTAACGATATGTACAATGATAAATGAGCATCTTCCATTGGCTCTGTTGAAACTGTGGCACAAAGGCTCTCGGCATTTGGGCTAGCAATTGAAGGCTTGTCAATCCTTCATCGTCTTTCTGTTGTGCTAGAAAATCGTAGTTCTCTAGTAACCAAAGAGCAGTCTCTGCATTGTGGAAGACAAAAGAGCAAAAGTTATTAATCTGCATTTGCATTGCATATATATTAAGTGTTGTGAATCAAAGTATGCATTTGTGAGGGAGAGAGACCAAAATGTTGGGCGATGACAGCCATACGAAGAACGGACATTTTGTCATATCTGTTGAACTGCATCGGAAGAGCGTCTGGATTCTCCTCCTTCAGTTTGCCAGCGTAAAACTTGACCAAGATAGTGTGACCAAGAGCAGCAGTTCTGTAGAGCGGAGTTTCTCCTAAATGGTTCCGAGTCCGCAGCAAAGGCAGCGCATCATTGTCTTCATCAGTAGTAAAACTGACTTTGACAGGCTCGTTGAAATTGCTCACCAAGAACTCTGCCGCTTCCACACTGCCGGACACACCCACCTGGTGAAGAGCATTGTTTCCGTCATTATTCTGAACCCTCAAAGATTTTCTCTTTTCATAGCTGGTTGAATTTCCGCGTATGTCAACCAAATATTCAAGGACTTTTTTTCCTTGTGATTTGCTTGTGCAAGAAGCCGCAAGGTGAAGTACATTGTCCCCATCCAGCGTCATTGGCCTGAGCAATTTTTCCGGATTCTTCTCGTAGTATTCCTTCGCGCCTTCCCAGTTATCCTCCATTGCAAATTCGTAGGGTGTTTTCAAGTCTTCAATTTGGCTTAACTCCTCCACTTGGTCCTCTTTCTCGATTTGATCTGGCTGAACAGTGTATGTTCTCTGGTACTCCATCTGTAGTACTAGCTAGCTTGCTGGAGTGTAATGTGGCGGTTTTCGTTTTAATTATAGGCTAGCTGCTGCTGCTGCTACTAATATTCTTTGCTTAATGTAGTAACTAATTATCTTTGACCAAATAAAGCGTAAAATGACTGAATATTTAAGGTTACCATTTTCTAGCTGTATATGCTTTATCCCTACAGGCTACAAGCATCTACCTTTGCTTAATTAGTTTCTTAGTTTTCTGCAGTAGATTCTGTTCACCAAGCGTGGAACACATGTCTTGCTACAATATATATTTATTAATTTGAGGGAAGTTCTGGTCTAGAATCAAAACGACGGAAAAAGAGATTCGAACTTAAGAGCAAACTAGTCAGTTTTATTTAGGGCGCTATAGATTTTGGCCCTTACAATTCATTATTTCTAGATAAAAACCCATCTATCTTTAAAGATCCAATTTAAGCCCTAATTTAAAATTTGCAAACATATAGGAACACTATTGACCTATTAATGCAATTTATTTACACTCATGCCACTCATACTTTATGGTCCCTTTTTCAAATTCATAAATTTATGCCAAATTAAAAGTAGTAGAAAAAGTGAAATAAAATGAAAAAAGTGTTTGCATTAACCGAATCTATGTTAAACTAGAAAAGTAGTTTTTTTTTTTCGTGATATATTTTGTAGCAATTTTATCCATATTAATTGGTAGGTAAATTAGTTTGTTCCAATTATTTAAAAAAAAATACTACACCTATATTATATATTTTGAATCAAATAACATTTCTCTAACTTGTAGGTAAATTATTTTCTATGTATTGTTATATATGTTAGACACGTTTTGTTGTTGTATAAACATGAGTGGAACATAATATTATTGATTTTATACATCTGCATTTCTTTTGTTATAAGTAAATTATTTTCCATGTACAAGTACTTATGTTAGGCAAGTTTAGTTGTTGGTACCTACACCCATGGTATAATTGGTGTAGGTAAATTATTGGAAATTAATTTGTAGTTAGGTAATGAACATTTTGCATCATTGGAAATGAACATTCCAAAGAGTAGGTAGGTAAATTAATTTGTTCTAATTATATAAAAAAAATTACACGACACCTAGTTATATTTAATTTTTCCAATTATTAAAAAAATTTATGCTACACCCAACCAAATAACATTTCTCTAACTTGTAGGTAAATTATTTTCCATGTATTGTTAGATATGTTAGGCACGTTTTATTGTTTTATAAACATGGGTGTTGTGACAGTCCGTCCCGGAAATTTTAAAAACGTACGCGTGAAAAGACGATTTTGCCCCTAGCAAGATTTTTCGTTGTGTGGTTGTTCTTTTTGGCTTGGTGTGGCTGGTTTTGCACCACACACCCTTCCCCACACTCACCCTCACCTTTCCCCCTACCCCTGCACCTGTCCCCCTATCCCTGCACCTATCCCGAGCTCCCTTTCCCTTCCCATTTTCCATCCAACGTACGGACACACACACAAACCCATCAAATCTTCACAGATCGAAGGAAAAAAATACATATCCATGCTCGTGAGGCTCGTAGAAGTCCAACCATACCCATTTCAGGTAAGGTTACCTTCGTTTTCACGTCGAACTCGAGATACCTGATTTTGGTACTGTTCATGCACACGTAATTTCTCATGTTTTTGGGAATTTCAAGCTTGTAGGAAGCTTGGTGAGGTCCCTAGGAGGCTCGGAGTGGTTCGTTTGAAGGTTTTGGACGTCGTGATCGTGAGTTTCGAGGTTGGCCGGAGTTGGGGGTATTTTCCAGGCGAGATTTCATGGATTTTAGCCCTTGAAAGTGGTATGATCTTGTTCCTCTCGTTGTAAGCTTCATTTTGGTACCAATTTTGTGAAATTTGGTTGAAAAACGCCGGAGCCTCGCCGGAGAAGACGACGGAATATTCCGTCAAAACTGACGGAATATTCTTAACGCCGTTGACGGAAACCGTTAGGGATAACGGAATATTCTTGACGGCGTCAACTGACGCCGTCAGCGTGCCAGGCACGTGCCTGCGCGTGGCCGGCGCGTGCGGTGGTGAAATTTTTTTCTAAAAATATGGGCATGTTCCTGAGGTTGAGTAGATCACGTTGGTGTATTCATACACCCCATTTGAACAATGTATGAGAAGTTATTTCTAAAGGTTGGTTATGTGCGTTAAAATTAACGTTTTTATAGTTGTTTCGCATATAGGTGAGACGTATCCCGAGGACGAGCGTGGTCACTCGAGGCAAGGGGGTTACGACCCTTCTACGTACCAGTGAGTGGGCTTTTGGTTTTCCGTATATACCTATATACTTATACGTTTCCCAGAAAATGAATTAAAATGTTTTTACATTATTATGCCATGTTTATTGGTTGCCGTTCGTTTATGCATTATTAGTCATATATATATACATGTGTATTGGTGCTGTGGACGCACAGGTAAGTGTCAGGTGAGTATGATTTTATATTTACGTTCAGTAGTGTTTCTAGTTACGTAGAGAGCTCATAACCTGCACCCCCGGTGTTAGTGCTCCCGCCCAGAGTAGGGCACAGTCCTTCACGTGATGTGCACCACACGCTCATCTTGGATCCAAGTTAGGTGCACAGGCTTGTCGTACAGACCACTTTAGGTGGTTCCGACTCGTAGGTAACCCACGATTATTCGCCTAGCCTTCACGTGATCGTAGCACTAGAGCGTACTTATATTACACCCAGGTCTGTCGTACAGACCACTTTAGGTGGTTCCGACTCGTGTGCAGGTATAGTTAGTGAGATGGAGATTCGAGCTCTAGATTCAGCCGTACAGGTCACGTTAGGTGACTCCGGCTGACAGTTTACATGGTATTGATTTGATATTTCCTGAGCACTGGCATATTACTTTGAGACATATTGCATGGCACGCTTTTCGAGCATGACTTATATATATATATTTTCTACTTTCTGGGAAGTATACAGGTTTTACAGTGAAGGGTTAGAACTTATTTATTAAAATGGTTTTCGAAAAGCTTTATTTTTGCCCACTCACGCTTTTGTTTTGCACCCCTCCAGGTTCTAGTTGGCTAGCACGTTTGGTGGCTTCCCTGAGGATTTCCCCGGCATATATGACAGACCACCACCAGCGTAGGACCACCTTCGGGTGTGCTTTTGTTGTCGTCATTTCCTTTTGGACTGCATTAGGCTTTATGCTCTGAACTTAGTGTCGCACTTACGCTTGCACTTAGTTGTTATTACTTGTGTAAAGCTAGTTTTATTTATTTGCACTATTATTATTTTATTTAGCTTCCGCACTGTGCACATGGTTACGTCACTTCCACGTGACGGCCAGCATGCCCTGATCTCGATCGGGGTGTGTCAGGTGTAACATAGTATTTTTAATACTATGCATCGAACTACATTCCTTCTTAATATAGGTAAATTATTTTCCATGTAATTAGTACATATGTTAGGCACATTTTGTTGTTGGTATATTATTTTGCATCATTGTAAAAAAGAGATATTATATTACACCCATGGTATAATTGTTGTAGCTAAATTAATGTGCATGTAGATAATGAAATACAATGTTCTAATATATTAATAAAAAGGGATAAATTCAAAAGTATTCAAGAGTAGGGTGAAAAAACTAAATCGAATAGTTTTATGAAAATTCAAAACCTTTCTAAAAAATTAATATGCAATAAATTTTTAACATTAATGTCTTTTTTTTTTTTTTCTTGTTGCAAAATCATTTACTATTTCCTTACAATTAATTGTCTACATCAAGTATGTAATAGGGGTATTTTAGGCATGTGAAAAATGTAAAATGTGTGAATTAATATGAAGTTAATGAATTTGCTTATGTGGATCCTAGTCATTGGATTTTCTTTGAGTAAAAAAGTTATGTAGAGTTTTATATGAAGAAAATTGAGTTTGAAGGGCTAAAGTCATATTTAATATTCATTTTCAATGTAGAGAATTACATCTTACGTCCTTTGAAGGGCGTTGGCTGGAGATTGTCTTTGCGACCGATGAAGCAGTGTCTTGATACATAAACCAACAATGCTCGAACCAGCACCATTACCGAAAACCAGCGAAAGAAGGACGTGTTCGTATCTCGACAAATCTGTGTATGAATTCTTATCATGTAAGTTACCTCTCTGTCTTCGCACTCTTCCCCAAGATCCGGGCGCCACTTGTTCGCACCTTCTCGTGCCTGTATTGCCTTGCACAGTTGTGCTTCTTAAATTGATGTGATCTCATTGAGCGGATTTTCGTTTACTTACCGATCATCATCACCATCACTCATTTCAGTAGGCTTACTTCTCTTCTTCCTCATCTTCGCATTTTGCTTCAGTTTCTTCATTTCTTTTTTTTTTGAACCTCGGCGGTACGGGTAAATTTATTGATATGAAAAGAAAACAAAGTTACACCTGATCAGAACAACATAAATTTTATCTTTCATAAAGCAAGAAAAACAAAGTACAAGAAAATAGGGGATATAAACCTTACTCTCCTTGAAAGAGAAAATACAAGAGAAATAGGGGGACATAGGACCAAACCCCTCTAAAAGAAAACCTAAAAGGTGAAAACCTGCAACATAAGCTGTAAAACAAAAAGGAATATCCACAAGGATTAGATAAAAAAAGAAAATCACACATAAAAAATGAGAGATAAACTTGTAAGCCAGCATGCCCAAGAAATCTGAATGTGAAAAAGGAAGAATCTCAATAAAGGAAATATTGATCCTCCTTGGCCTCTTCATATGCAATGGTCTATTTGTTTGGATCGCATTTGGAAGATGGCTTTCTACGCCTCTCACATATATCGCGAAGGAAATGTTGTTGCGGACAATTTTGCTAACATGGGCTTGTCTTCTCCAACTTTAGTATGGCATGATTCCTCTCCATTGGCGGCTCATGCTGCTTTGTTTTCAGATTATGTTGGCTTTTCTGGCTACCGCTTCTCAAATTAACTTGCGTATCGACATACAAGTTTGACTCACTTTCTTGTTTTTTTTTCTTAACCTTGTGATGTTGTTTAATCTGTTTTTTAGGTTTAGACTTTTACATTTGGTTTTAGAGGGGTTAGGTTTCATGTCTTCCCCCCTCACTTCCTTGTATTTGTGTTGTTTGCGTTTCTAGAAGAGTAAGGTTTATACCCCTTTTTTCATGTAATTTTTATCCATTTTTCTTGTATTATGAGGGGTTAGGTTTATGTCCTCCCTGACTAGGTGTAACTTCTTTTTCGTTATCAATAAAATTCCTCTTGTACCGTCGAGGTTTCATAAAATAAAATAAAAATCTCAATAGGAGGAGCGGCATGTCAAACAAGAGTAGATGAGAGAAAACCTCAAATGGCTAATTTGTCAGCAAGTGCATTCCCATCTTGAAATATATGAGAGCAACGAAAACCATGTACTGTAATTGAGAAATACAATTTTCCAACGAGTTTGGACCGACCAAGGAGGAGAAAACAAGCCAAAAGTAAAGCAAGATACCAAACTAGAAGAGTCACTTTCAAGCCATAAACTTTGTCTACCCGAGTTTATGCTTTCTGCAGGTTATTTTCTTCTTGTGTAGCTTTGGCACAATGCTTCCTGTCAAAAGTTTTGAAGATGTGTTTTATCGATCTGATAATCTCGAACGTATCCAATTTCTTTGAATTTAGTTTCAAACTTCGAGAGTATTCTATCGACAACCTGCAAGGGCTGTGTCCGTTGGAGAAAATATACTAGATAAGCAAGCAGATTTTCCAATATATTAATTTGACATTTTTCAGAGTGAGTCTCAGCAACAACAAATAAAGAAGCAGCACAATGTTCAGCAGGGCAGGGCAGGGCATTTTGTTACTGCTGCTGCAGACTTTGGGTCTTTGTCAAACTCGGAACAAGTAGAGAGCTGATAGGTACTCATCACTGTCAAGCCTATTTGCCTGGAGTTTGCTCTGATTTTCCATATAAATTCCATTGGTTGATGACTCTGTTTTGGTCTTTTGTATAAACTTGAAATTATTCTAGCAATATTTTAATTAATCTAATCCAATCCAAACTATGGAAAGCGGATTGGAACTTGAGTTTAAAGAGGGAAACGCAAGGCTCTTTCCAATTTGGCTACGCTGCTCGGATATGCTATATAAACTCAAATTATAATTTCAAATCAAACAAAAGTATGCATGGTACTAGATCTTTACCATACAAACAAGCCTCTTTATTCTTCACGTATTGCCCATAATTTAAACTGAAGACACACTGAAATTGTGACATTTAATTGGGGAGAAAAGAAGAAACCAACTGAAAATTCAAACGATAACTACAAATCTAACAGTAACTTCTGTTGCAAGATTGTGAATTTGAACCACACATTCTGCCCTTGCGAAAAGCTTACGTGACTCAATACGCCTTACACTTGCCCCATCTTGATCTCCTCTTGGAAAAGCCGAGAAGGCAGCGTAAGGTGAAAATCCAGTCATCGATTTTTTCCAACGCGACTATCAAGGATTGATACATGGGAAATTGCAGGAGGCCGAATAGAGGGACTGGGAAAAAGGCAATAGGGTAAAGTATAGACTTGGTCCATTTCTTCTCAACGCGAATCAAGAGCAAAATGGTGGCGGCAAAGGCAACCATGGTTGCTGCCATGGACAAGAAGAGCAAGGCGAATCCAATCATGACCTTGCGAGGAAGACTGTTAACGAAAAATGGGTACTCGAGAGGGGAGGAGAGGATTGAGAGAAAGAATGCCACAGAAGATAATGAGCAGGCAATTCCCACAACGTCCATGCAGGTGAAGAGCAAAAAGAGAGGATCGTCCTGGAAAACAGGAAGACCATTTTGATCATTAGTACCCCCCGGAATGGCGTAGGCAGCTGCAAAGACCACAGTGGCCACTAGCACCGCCACAGTTGAGCATGATTGAGCCGTGTCTTTTATCCATTCTTGTGCCGACGTCAGAAGACCGTTATGCTGGTCGTTGAAGAGCTCCTCAGCTGTCTTATCCTTCTTGTTGCGGTGCATGATGTACCGAGGCGGTAGTATCTCTTTTACACACTGACACAAACACAGTACACCTTTATCATGTTGACATATAGATTTTGTAATAGAAGTATTTGTATGACAACAAAAGTCTTTTACCAAGTGAACCGACTTAATTACTAACATAAGTATTTATCTAACAACGTAAGTATTTTATCAAGTTTAGCAGCAGAACATTACCTGCATCCAACGTAGCTCTGCTTGCAATTGCATTGCAGGGCCAATTAGTTTCTGAGACAACGCTATAGAGTAGTAACTCCTATCTGCAGCCTGATGCAATATGGTGTTGCCATCACAGTCTATCCACTTCTTCAGCCTCGACATCACAGTTGGTTTGCTTTTGATAAGATTAAGTATCTCTTTCCGACGGTTCTTAATGGCTAGATGCAATATGTTGCGTTCATTATAGTTAACATGCTCGACTGCCTGAGGATGCTGCTCAAGTATCTCCTCCACAATGGGCATAATTCCTGTGATAGTTGCTATAAGCAATGGGGTAAAGTTGTAAATTTCATACCTCGCTGCCTTATCCGAAGTCGATGGTTTTGCAGCTTCCGCTCGTTCTTCACCTCCATCATTACCTTCTCCCCTATCCGACTTGGATGTGCTTGCGGCTTCCCATCCTTTTTCACTTCCATCATCACCTTTTCTGTTATCCGATTTGGATGTTTCTTCGGCTGCCCATTTTTTTTTACTGAGATTGGACCCTAAAGAAATGGTCTTGGGATTTACTTGCTGATTAGTACTCAGGCAAGAATAGTCCGTCTTAACAAGCTCATGGATGAGTTTCTCTAGCCATTTTTTGTTTGTTTTGTCCTTCCATATCCTGTAGATTATGCCGGCCTGCGGGCCTCCTGTTCCTATCCATCACACGATCAAGCATATGCATACATTAACTAATGTGTCACAGGAGATGTACCGCCAATCGTCACTCTAAAAAGTTATTATGCACTCTTCATCTTCTCATGTAAAATAAAAAAAATGAGTAAATAATGTTTCTTTTCTAGAGTTCCAGTAACAAGTGTTTATTATGATGAAAATGCACTGAGGAAAAGGCAGAAAGTAAACAAACTTTTAGCAAGGGAGTCCCATAGTGATGAGTAAACCCTAGCAAAGCCTGCAAAACATTTTATGCATGCACCTTCATCAGAAACATTGAAAACATGCCAATTAACGGAGCGCTTTAGCTAGCTAGCTGTGTAGTTTATTTGATTAATTAACTAGGTTACTACCCAAGTTGATCTCTACATTCTCCTTCTGATTTTGTGTGACCACATCTCCTCCATCAGGAAGCCCTGCGTATATAACAACGTTAAGTATGAGATTACTGCTTCATATAAATTAAAAACGTGGCTGCGCACACATGCGTGTATATATAGCAGCACGTAGAGTAACGGTGCATACAATAGTAAATGAGCATCTTCCATTTGCTTTGCTGAAATTGTGGCTCGAAGGCAGTTGGCATTTGGGCTAGCAATTGAAGGCATGTCAATCCTTTATCTTCCTTTTGGTGAGCTAGGTATTTGTAATTCTCCAGTAACCAAAGAGCAGTCTCTGCATTTTGGAAGATAAAAGATTAAGCAAGAGTTATTAATCTGCATTATTGAGAATCAATGTGTGCATTTTCAGAGAGAGCCAAAGAGACCGAAACGTTGCTCAATGACTGCCACATGAAGAATGGACAGTTTGTCATTTCTGTAGAAGTGCCTGAAAAGATTGTCCGGATTATTCTCCTTCAGTTTGCGAGAATAAAAGTTGACCAAGTCAGTGTGACCGAGAGCAGCCGCCCTGAAGAGCGGAGTTTCTCCTAAATCGTTCCGAGTCTCCAGCAGCGGCAGCACATCATTCTCTTTATCTTCATTACCACTAGCACTAGAACTGATGATGACCTCGCCTTCAAGTTCAACAGGCTCGTTGAAGTTGCTCACCAAGTACTCTGCCGCATCCACACTTCCGGACAAACTCACGTCGTGAAGAGTATTGTTTCCGGTGTTATTAGGTTTCCTCAGAGCGCATCTCGGGCCATAGCTGGTCGAACTGAGTAAACTGATCAACATTTCGAGTACTCTTCTGACTTGTGATTTGCTGCAGCAAGAAGCCGCAAGGTGAAATGCAGTGTCCTTGTCCACCGTCATTGGAATGAGCAATTCGTCTGGTTTGTTCTGGTAGTATTGTTTCACGCCTTCCCAGTCATCCTGCATGGCACATTTATAGGCACCTTCCGAGTCTTCAATTTTTTTCAATTTACTATCACTCTCGTTTTGATCACTCTGATCCACCGCTACTGTTCTCCAGTACGCCATCTGTGTGCAGTATATTAGCTAGCTTGGCGGTGTGTAATGTGGTGGTTTTTGCTGTGATTTATAGGCCCGGCTAGCTGCTGCTACTGCTGCTTCTACGCACTTCCTATCCCGCAGGATTTATAGGCCGGGTAGCTGCTCCATCAATTGGTTTCTATTCCGATTCATGATTAAAATGGTAAACAGTTTAATAAGAATATGATTCTGATTCCTTCTCAATTCAACTCCTTATCAATTCAATTTCTCTTCAATTATACTTTTTCCATTTTAATTGTAGATTAGTAAACGAGTCATTAATATACGCTTTGTTTAAGGGAACTGTTTTCTTGTACCCATTTATATATGTTTTATCCGTACAAGCATCTACCCTTGCAAGTGCGCAACACATGCCTCGATTAAAATGTAATTTGATAAATGTACGCCAGCATCTATTTTTTTTTATTTATTTTTTGTTCAAAGCCTACATCTATTGTTTCTACCAATATTATTAGTTCTCAGCAACTGCACATATTCAGTTTTATTTATTCATTGTAGAAAGGGAGTTGAATTTTACGCACCATTCATTTTAATTTATGGCCCTCGCATTAGATAAATGGGAACAACAAAGAAAATGTAACAAGGGTGTATAGGAAACTAAAAGGTGTGCCTTTATTATTTTGCCCTGTAGAAAATTACATCTCATGTCCTTGAACAGGTACAAACATATAAATTACACGATAAAAGTTACTATGGTGAGCTTTGTTCCAGGGAGTCAGGAGGGGGCTGCGGCCTTCCTTGATTAGGATGAACACGCTAGTGTTGTCTCACTACTACAAAAGGATCTAATAGTGTCAGTTGTTGCGTCGGTTTAATATTATATAGTGGCGAAAAAGAGATTTGCGACACTCACTGAAGATGACGTCGTATTTACTGTCGCTTATAAGCGTCATAAAATTTCTATGTCGCTTTTAAACCGACGTAAAAATTTAGTGTCGCTTATAACCGACATATATTTTAATATTTTTAAGTACTGGCGTCGCTTTAAATAAAATAGTGTCGCTTTTAAGTGACATAAACTATGGGTGTCGCTTTTAGGCGACACTAATTCTTGTTTTTAATATTTTAAATCCTGCGTCGGTTTTGAGCGCCATATATTTTGAAAACCAGTGTCGGTTGTAAGCGACACATTGATCGTCTTTATATCCTCTCCCCCGTGTTTTCTTTTTCTTCTCTTGCACTTTTCTTATTCGTTCTTCCAATTTTTACAAAGTCTTCCGTGTTCTCTCTCTTTCAGCTTTCTCCTTTGGTTTTCAAACTTCATTTGTTCCTCTTCACAACAGTAAGTTTTTCTTGCTTATAATATTTTTATTTTCTCCTCTTATGTTTAATTTTTAGTTACAATTTATTTTTGTAGGAAATTTATTTGAGTTGGTTGAGTACATAAAGAATTGTTGACGTCGAAATTCTTCAACAAATCAGGTTTGTATCACTAACTTCTTTAATTTTTAAATTGTATAATACACAAGTTTATTTATTCAAAAATTATAATTTAAGCACTTAGATAAAATTCTACTATTTTTGTTAAATTAATAAAAATTTAGTCGAATTAATTAATTTTGTCACTCTAATTGTTATTTTAATTTGTTGTTATTTTGATAATTTTTTGTTGTTATTTACTAGAATGGATTAGATGAACATAATTTGAATTGTTATGAGAAAATGGAATGAATAATATTTATAAGCATTTATGTTAAATTAACAATATTAAATATAACATAAACTTATAATATTGAGTAATATAAGAATATATTATGTTAATTTTTTTTTTGCACTCTAATTGTTATTTTAATTTGTTGTTATTTTGATAATTTTTTGTTGTTATTTACTAGAATGGATTAGATGAACATAATTTGAATTGTTATGAGAAAATGGAATGAATAATATTTATAAGCATTTATGTTAAATTAACAATATTAAATATAACATAAACTTATAATATTGAGTAATATAATAATATATTATGTTAATTTTTTTTTTTTGCACTCTAATTGTTATTTTAATTTGTTGTTATTTTGATAATTTTTTGTTGTTATTTACTAGAATGGATTAGATGAACATAATTTGAATTGTTATGAGAAAATGGAATGAATAATATTTATAAGCATTTATGTTAAATTAACAATATTAAATATAACATAAACTTATAATATTGAGTAATATAAGAATATATTATGTTAATTTTTTTTTTTTGCACTCTAATAAGAATATAACCTAAACTTATAATATTTAGGAATATAAGAATATAAGAATATAACCTAAACTTATAATATAAGAATATCCTTTCATATAAGAATATAACTTTTCATATAAGAATATAACCTAAACTTATAATATTTAGGAATATAAGAATATAAGAATATAACCTTTCATAAGAATATAACCTAAACTTATAATATTTAGGAATATAAGAATATAAGAATATAACCTTTCATAAGAATATAACCTAAACTTATAATATAAGAATATCCTTTCATATAAGAATATAACTTTTCATATAAGAATATAACCTAAACTTATAATATTTAGGAATATAAGAATATAAGAATATAACCTTTCATAAGAATATAACCTAAACTTATAATATAAGAATATCCTTTCATATAAGAATATAACCTTTCATATAAGAATATAACCTAAACTTATAATAATTAGGAATATAAGAATATATTAATTAATTTTTTTTGCACTCTAATTGTTATTTGAATTTGTTGTTATTTTGATAAGTTTGATAACTTTTGGTTGTTATTTATTAGAATGGATTAGATGAGCATAATTTTGATAACTTTTTGTTGTTATTTTAATTTGTTTTTACTATAATAGGTGTTGAAAATTAAAAGATTGCAATCGTGATAGAGTTCGAGGGGTGAAAGATAGAAATTGAAAATTTTGATAGTTATGCCTACATGATAGGGATTGAAAGATTGTAGGCATCTTAGTGTCAACGTAATATTTTACCTTCGTAAAGTGGTAAAATATGGACAAGAGTTGGTTGACAATACCCCGAAATTTTGAAGCGTATACAACTGGAATTAATTTGTTTTTGGATCAAGCAGTTGCAAATGGTGTTGGTCCTGATAAGTTTAGATGTCCTTGCAAAAGATGTTGTAATCGATATACTTTTGTTAGGAACACCATTGTTGAACATCTCATATTGTATGATATGGATAAAGATTATAAAAACGCTTGTTGGCGACATCATGGCGAGCAAAACATTGGAGAGCAAAATGTGGGAATTGGAGAAGAAGAAACAGGAGATGAGGTGATTGGCATGCATGATTTTCTTAATGATGTATTTGTCCAACCATTAACAGAAGAAGGTGTTGGGCCATCTACTGAGCCCCCTATTGGGGAAGGGCGTCCAGAAGAGGTGCAGACTTTTTTTAAGTTGCTTGAAGAGGCAGATCAAGATTTGTGGCCAGGTTGTAAGGAGTTTAAGAAATTGGAAGCAGTTGTAAGATTGTATCAGATCAAGTGTTTAGTGGGAATGCCTGACGAGATCTTCACCACTTTACTGGAGTTAATTAAAAGAATGTTGCCTGAAGGGGATTGTTTGCCTGAATCCTGTTATAAGGCAAAAAAACTTATAAATGACTTGGGGCTGTCGTATGTGAAAATGTTAGATTTAATGTCGGATTTAATGTTTGTTACGACGGACGACTTTTTGGATTTTATGTGAAATGTTAGATGTACAGTTTGGCACTATTGTTTTTGTTATTTATTTTCATTAATGTTTATTTAGATCTTAAAATTTATAATTTTGATTATATAATTTACTTTAGTTGGAATTAATTGAAATTGCATGCAGTTGTCTATCTATTTTTATTATTATTAACAAATATAGTGTCGGTTAAGACCGTTACTAGATTTTATATTTTATTTATTTAATTGTTATCTAACGTCGGTTTAAGGAATATTTTATTTATTTAATTTTAATATAATGTCGCTTTAAAGTGACAGTAGACTGCATACTTTATAATTAAATAGCTGATGCACGTGTAAGTATGCGTCGCTTTAAACCGACGTTAAGGTTAGTGTCGCTTTAAAGCGACACTGTGTAGTGGCGGATTAAGCTCAAAAAGCGACACTGAAGCCCTTTCGCGACGCTAGCAATAGTGTCGCCATTGAAAAGCAACATTACATTGTTTAATGTCAGATTTGTGCCAAATTTTCGACAGAAATTTGATTTCTCGTCGGTTTGTCCTCCGCCGGTGATAGCATATATTGTAGTAGTGTCTCCCCTCGTAATCTGGAGCTCTCCGTTGAGATACGTTGTTAGCAACCACGACTCGGTATTGCCACTCGAGATGGGTAAACCTTTGAAGGGATCACCAGCTGTGTAAATATTTTTCTTTGATTTTCTGCGTATATAATTTGGACAAGGCAACATGCAGGACTAAACAGGTCATTTTAGAGGGATGGAATCTCTCCAAAAGAAATTGGAGAATGGAATCCCTCAACTCAAGGAACTGGAGTTAATCGAATTGATTCAATCTAAAACTTAAAGGAGACTCTAGCAAAAGCACTTTGTTCCTAAACCATATAATTAAGCACTTTAACCAATAGGATCTTGGGAATACCTGGAAACGTTTCACTAAAAAGGTCTTATTCTCCTAAAGTGATTAGCACATCAACTCATAAAAATGAAATGGCAATAACGGAAAGACCCCTTAAAGGCAATAACTCGGATTCGTTTAGATAAAAAAAAATTATTCTGGTTTTTGTTTCGTAAAGAGTTCCATGTAGTTTTATACGTATACTACCAGGAAATAAACTAAAATTTGAGGTAAGTCCTTATGATTCAACCAAAGGGCATATAATTTAGAGACTCCAAAGCAAAGACTTGAATGATTAGGCGGTTTCTTCAATTTCAACATTCTTTTGTGATGATACAATTCGAAATTTTATCCTTTTCGTTCAATATGCCAGAGACCACCGAATTAACAGTACAAACTACATTGAAAGGCAACGTTAATTACATGATGTATAACTCCATGGAAGCCGGGAAATCAGAGCTGCAACTATCGCACGCTTCAGGAACCATGCATGGTCCTCTAAGAGTTGATTGCAGTGTAAACAGATACACATACAGATACAAGAACAAGATCGGGGCAACTATATACATACATGTGCGCATCTCCTTGTCTACTTTGAACATTTGTGAAGCATAATCTGGAACTTGGTTTTATTGTAATTGTCTACGAACTATTGTATCATGATGTTGCCATTTTCTTGGCTTCAAAGCCTTTCTTTGAATGTAAGATTTCCCAGATCAAAGTAAAGGCAAGAGATGTCATGAATGTTATTGATGGCTTGAGGCTTTCATAATTTCAGCCACTTATACATTACTTATACAACAACAAAAAATTTGTTTCATTATCGAGCGCAACGTTGTAGAGGGTAATGAAGACTCCATAAAAAAACAAGTGTTTGGTGTTGGCAGCGTCCTTTTGGCATCCTCCTATAAACTCAAACCATAAATTAATTCTCCTCAATTCTCATTAATTTTGATTTCAATTTATATTAAATCATAAAAATTGAAAGAAATGACGACGGACCTGTTGGAAGGAGAGAGCGTTAGAGAAGAAAACGTCTGCCATGTCCTCTCAGCCCTCGCCACGCGTCACTTTTCCTTCTCTTTCACTCACCTCTCTCCTCGACTAGAAACATTTGAATAGAGCAGTCTAACCAGTCAAATAAGAGAAGTATCATCGTAATTAGGTACTATTAAATCTCTAATCTCACTGTAATTAGGTATGGAAAATGTTAGGAAAACCATGTATTGCAATCCACATGATGTGGCGGTTGATGGTTGTTTTTTAAATGATTTAAACAAGGAATTCAATTATCAACTGTCACATCATGTGATTTACAAAATATGATTTAAGAAGATGATCTCTCTAGAATCACCCATTAAGCATTATTAAGTATTGTAAGTACAACTCCCAATGTATATTATTAAGTCTTGCAAATATTTTTCTCCCAATGTATATTATTAAGCATGCTTGAGACGTAATAGCATACAATTTGCGACAAGCCTTTCATTCTTCACTGTTTTTTTCTTTTTTTTTAGAACTTCGACGGTATGAGAGAATTTAATTGATATGAAAAAAAAGAAATTACATCTAATCAGGGAACATAAACCTTATCCTCATAAGCCTTTCATTCTTCACTTATTGTCCATACTTGTGAATGAAGACACGATAATATTGTGAAAATGGGGGAGAAAAAAGAAAATCAAAATATTCAAATGATAACTACAAATACTGTAATGTAAGATTGTGAATCTGAACCACACATTATATTCGAACAAAAACGTTATGTGTATGTTGCTTCATGGTTCCTGATTCAGTACTCCTTACTCTTACCGCATATTGATGTCCTCTTGGAAAAGCCGAGAATGCGGTGGAAGGGATTCAAAACCCAGGCATCAATTTTCTGAAACACGGCTTTGAAAGAATGATACATAGGAAATTGCAGCAAACCGAATTGAGGGACTGGGAAAAAGGCAATAGGGTAAAGTATAGACTTGGTCCATTTCTTCTCGATGTGAATCAGGAGTAAAATGGTGGTGGCAAAGGCGAGCATATGGTGGTTGCCATTGACAAGAAGAGCAAGACGAAATCAATCATGACCTTGCGAGGAATATTGTTGATGAAAAGTGGGTACTCGAGAGGGGAGGAGAGGACCGAGAGAAAGAATGCCACAGAAGATAATGAGCAGGCGATGGCCACAACGTCCATGCAGGTGAAGAGTAAAAAGAGAGCATCGTCCTGGAAAACAGGACGGCCACTTTGGTCATTACCCCCGGGGATGGCATAGGCGGCTGCAAATACCACAGTGGCCACTAGCACCACCACGGTTGAGCATGACTGAGCCGTTTCTTTTACCCATTCTTGTGCTGACTTTAGAAGTTCGTTATGCTCATTGCAGAATGGCTCCTCCGCTGTCTGATCCTTGTTGTTATGGTGCAAGCATAATAAGGTGGTAGTATATGTCTCACATGCTGGACAGTGGACACGAACATGGACATTTATCAGGTCGATCAACATTACTCAATCAGTAAAAGAAGTATTTGTCTGACAATAAAATTCTAGCAAGAGAACGTTACCAGCATCCATTGTAGCTCTGCTTGCAATTGCATGACAGGGCCAATTAAATTTTGAGACAATGATATAGAGTAGTAACTCCTATCTGCAGCCTGGTGCAATATGGTGTTGCCAACGCAGTCGATCCTCTCATTCAGTCTCGACATCACACTTGGTTTGCTTTTGATAAGCTTAAGGATTGCTTTCTGACGATGCCTAATGGCCACATGCAAAATGTTGCGTTCGTTTTTGTTAATGTGCTCAGCCGCCTGAGGATGCTGCTCAAGTATCTCCTTCACAATGGACACACTCCCTTTGACAGTTGCTATAATCAGTGGGGTAGAGTCATAAACTTTAGTCGTCACCCCCTTATCCGATTTGGTCGCTTCTGCGACCTCCTTTCCATTTCCCTCTGATTTGGTTGCTTTGGCGGCTGCCTTTCCTTTTTCGTCTCCGTCGTCACCATCTTTACTAAGAGTTTCCACTGACCCCAGAGAAATGGTCTTGGTCTTTGCTTGCTTGTTACTGATCAACCAAGAATAGTCCGACTCAACGAGCAGGTGGACGATTTTCTCTAGTGATTTTTTGTTTTTCTTGTCCTTCCATATCTTGTCAATTATGCCGCCATACGGGCCTCCTGTTCCTATCAATCACATGATCAAGCATATATAATTAACGTGTCATAGGAGATATTATCAGTATTCTAAAGAAGTTATCATGCACTCCTCATCGTCTCATGTAAATCACAAGAAATGAGGAAATAATGTTTCTTTCCTAGAGTTCTAGCCAAGTGTGTATTATGATGTAAAAGCATTGTGGAAAAGACGGAAAGTAAACAAACTTTTAGCAAGGGAGTCCCATAGTGAAGAGTAAACCCTAGCAAGGCCTGCAAAACATTTTATGCATGCACCTTCATTAGAAACATTGAAAAAATGCCGATTAACGGAACGCTTTAGCTAGCTAACTGTGTACATATTTGCTTAACTAATTAGCTTACCTGAAAGCTTGTTCCTAGAGATGGATTGACGGCGCCGCTGGTTGCTATCCAAGTTGATCTCTACATCATCTTTCTGATTTGGTGTGACCACATCTCCTCCATCAGCAGGAAGGCCTACGTATAACAATTAAGTATCCAGATTACTGCTTCATAAAACAAACAAAAATAACAAAAAAAAACGTGCGTGCACACACACGTATATAGAGCAGTACGTACGTGCGCACACATGTAGCAGTGTGTCGAGTATTGGTACTTACAATAATAAATTAGCATCTCCCATTTGCTTCGTTGAGATTGTGGCACAAAGGCAGTTGGCATTTGGGCTAGCAATTGAAGGCTTGTCAATCCTTTATCTTCCGTTTGGTGCGCTAGATAGGGGTAGTGCTCCAGGAACCAAAGAGCAGTCTCTGTATTGTGGAATACAAAGGAGAAAAAGTTATTAATCTGCATTGTGGAATCAGTGTGTGCATTTTCTGAGAGAGAGAGAGAGAGAGAGAGAGAGAGAGAGAGAGAGAGAGAGTGAGAGATCGAAATGTTGTGCAATGATGGCGATATGAAGAATGGACATCTTGTCATTTCTGTGGAAGTGCCTCCAAAGATTGTTCGGATTATCCTCCAGCAGTTTGCCAGCATAAAACTTGACCAAGTCAGTGTGACCGAGAGCAGCGGCCCTGAAGAGCGGAGTTTCTCCTAAATGGTTCCGAGTCTCCAGCAGCGGCAGCACATCATTTTCTTTATCAGTACTACTAGCACTAGTACTGATGATGACCTTTTCCGGATCAGGCATGTTGAAGTTGCTCACCAAGTACTTTGCCGCTTCCACATTGCCGGATGCACTCACCTCGTGAAGAGTATTGTTGCCGTTGTTATTTGGAACCCTCAGAGCGCATCTATCTTCATAGCTGGTCGAATTTCTGAGTATATTGATCAACCCTTCGAGGACTCTTTTGCCTTGTGTTTTGCTGCTCAAAGAAGCCGCAAGGTGAAATGCAGTGTCCCCTTCCACCGTCATTTGATTGAGCAGTTTTGCCGGAAATTTCTCGAAGTATTCCTCTACGCCTTTCCAGTTATCCTCCATGGCACATTGATAGGGACATTTCAAGTCTGGAATTCGCCTTAAGCTATCCTCTCCCTCTGTTTGATCCGGCTGAACCCTGTTTTGATTGGGCACAGCCGCTAGCGTTCTCCAGTTCCCCATTTTTAGTACTATCTAGCTTCGCGGTGTGTAATGTGGCATTCGTCAGCTTTGATTTATAGGCTAGCTGCTGCTGCTGCTGCTTCTGCTATATGCTTTACTTAATTACTTAACAAAGAATGTTGAATAATAAAGCATAAAAGGATCGAACAGTTAAGGTTACCATTTTCTAGCTGTATATGCTTTACCCTACAAGCATCAGGCTTTGCTTAGTTTATTAGTTTTCTTTCGTACATTCTTTTCACCGTGCAACATATATATGTCGAGCCTTAATTAAGGAAGGGATAGATGGGAATCAGTTGTGAGACTCACATCACAGGCGAACTAGTTCGAATTGTCTGGTTTTTAAGTTGCATTTCATAGAACATCCATGCAAAATCTTAACAAAATAAATAATTGAGGCATGTAATTGAGTTCAAAGAAATTGAGAAACACTATGTTCTAAGAAATATTGATAATTTATCCATGACAATTAGATGGGCAAATAGTTTCTAGTTGCATTGAACTTTTGTAAGAATTGTTCTATGAACCGAAACTTACAAAATAGACGATATAGATCGTTAAAGTTCGTCGCAGAGTGTGTCCCATAAATAATCCCTATTTTTCTAAAAATAAAAATCCCTTCTCTTATTAAATATGTTTATATATATTGTAATTGAAAAAATGGTCAAATCTCATTTAAATTCTAAATTACAGAGAGGAGATTCGAATTTTATGTGCAGAATTCTGCTATGCACAACATTGTTTCTCAAGCATATTGAGTTTCATTCATTCACTGTAGAAAATTACATCTCATGTCCTTGAACAAGTACATACGTTATACATACATACATATATATATATATATATATATATATATATATATATATCACACCATAAACGCTGCTAAAGTGAGTTTTGTTCAGGGAGTCAAGAGGGGGCTGCCTTCCTTGATTAGCACGAACACGCTGCCGTTGTCTCCCCTGCTAATCCGGAGCTCTCCATCGAGGTACGTGGTTAGCAACCACGACTGGGCATTACTTGAGATGGAGAACTTAAAAGGGGGTCGACTGGAGATGGTCTTTACAACAGATGAAGCAGTATCTTGAACAGAATTGAGCAAACCTTTGAAGGGTGCGAGTTCGATTTTTTGTCCTAGAAACTCAACATTTTCGGGTATCACCAGCGAGTCTGTTAGTTGTGGGGTGCCAATTACGCCTTCTTCAAACTTAATCTGAATCAACAAAGTAATCGAACAAAATTCATTTACGGCCGAATCAACTAAACCAACACTTTCATAAATAGTTTCCAACGTTCCAATGAACCCTAAATTGAATTATGTTTGTTCTTTCAAATTTAATGGGCTAGCTAGCTTTCAAGAGGATATAAACACTTGAACAAAAAGGGGCACACTTGGACACAAAAGGGTTGGATCATGCAACCACCATATACTTTGGGTGAATTTCTATTACGGTTCTTCAGTTTACTAATTGCTACAAAAAGCTTAGTTCCATCAATAAAATAGCACGTGAGCGATACATGTGCAAATAAACTTGGGGTTCGGGGAGTTGTAAAAACATCTCACGTGTGCCGCTCGCGTGCTAATTTCTTAAACAAATGAGGTATTTAAGCAAACCATCTTTGAATTGTAACAATTAGTATCTACGAAAGTACTTGGCCACAAATGAAATACTCAAAGTGAAGTAAAACTTCGCCCAAACCACATCAAAGAAATTAATCAAATCAAGTTCATACATACACTAAGCAATGAAAAGGGAATGAATTAACCAAACCTGGACGCGCTTGGGGCTTCGGACTTCAAATGTCGCGTTGGTGCTGATGGAAGTGGTAGCCAGCGGTCCAGCAAATTGGACAGAGTTTTGTACGGTGAAATTATCAGAGTCAATTGTCTGAGATATGTCTTCAACCTTCACCAATGGAAGCGTCCCTCTTGACAACAACGGAAACAGACCCGCAAATGAAGTGTACCTATAAAACAAATTGGCTAACTGAATCACTGAATTTAAGTCAACAAATTTTTTTTTTTTTTTAACAATACGATATTTAAAACTACTCTAAACCGCGCAAGGACCGTGCAAAATAGTGGCCACACTGCCATACTAAGGAGCTTACAACATACAACAATCAAGCCTTATCAGACTAAGTGCGGTCCGCTGTATGAATCGTAGAACAGCACTGCGTTCAGTTCTATGCCAAGTCTTCCATTAGCTCTACTTCATATCTTTTCTTACAATCTCTTTCAAAGTTCATAGGTCTTCCTCTCCCCCTTTTGCATTGAGTCTCCTTCTCACATTCACATCTTCTAACCGGAGCATCTGTAAGTCTTTAGTTCACGTATCTAAACCATTTTAACAGATTTTCTCTCATCTTATCTTCAATTACGGCCACTCTAAGGAGCTTAACAATACGAATTATTTACTAAACTATATAAAGTAGAGAATAAATAGTACTTATTATGTAAATATATTTTAATAAGTACTATTAAATAGTCTAGGATACGAGAAGGGTATAACTAAAGAAAGGAAATCAATTAGTCATTCATCAAAGTTTCATTTATTCAATGACCAAAATTAAATGAGGGTATATAGCTTGAAGACGTAGAACAAAAATTTGTTTATTTGCATCAACCTTTCAAGGGGCACATTCAAGACTTACCCGTACTATTACTCAACAGAAAATAAGAGCTTAGGTTTCGGATCATCGGGATAGAGGTAGACAAAAGAGAGATTTTCATCGGTTGTGGATCACTCGGATAAATACAGTAATTCGCGAGAATAAAGTATACTTCAGCTATAGTAAATTTATACACTATATTTATTAGGATTCCTCTTTGCATAATAGGTACTGTAGCCAGTATTCGTGTGATCGGTTTAATCGGTATTTTCTTTTATGGTTCATATTCCGAATTAAGTCCATCCCTGTAATAATCAGATGAACTGAGTTGTAGACATGAATGCATAAGAATTCAACGGGATCCCCTCAAATCAGACAAGGAAAGAGGGGGTAAATCCCGTTAAGTTCTTAATAATCATAATATTTTTTTTAGAGGTGTTTCAAAAACCTCTACCTTTATGTAACAACTTCGTTAAATGATTTAGACCATCTTGTACTCAATAGTATCTGTCAATCTGCGAAGACGAATAAAATTTTTATTTACTTACTTTTTATGAATGGTTTACTCTATGTGTTGAATTTTTTTATTTAAGTCACATCTATGAATTTTGATTAACACAATTACTGGGCTGTAAGTAGAGTATAATATCACTAAATTGTAGTGACAAATAAATAGGCGCAGTTGGAGCTACTTACGCTAGAATCCATTTGCCATTGAGGAGAGGCAAGGCCTCGGTCGGAGCCGGAGTCGGGTTTTTGGCCTCCAACTGGGTAATAAGCTCCACAATCTCGGCCCGGGTCTCGCTGGTGGCGCTCAGCCCACGGTCAGTCCCATAAAACGAGTCCACCAAAGCCTTCTTCAGCCGACTGATCTCCGCTGGCTCCGGCTCAGCCGGCTTCTCCTCCACGGCCACATTTACATCCCCGCTCGACTCGACCTCCCTCTCGGCATCGTTCGCCGATCGGACCCGGGTCGATGGTCGGGCCCCGACGATCAAGTTGAATTTGTTGGTGGATTTGGCAGCGGCGATCCCGACAGAGTTTCGCGCAAGGAGAAGGCAAGGCTTGGAGGTGAGACGGTGGCGTGGCGGGTTTAGCAATAGAGGGTTTAGGGTTAGCTGCGAGACGAAGGACATGTTTGGGTGCTTTTTTCTTGAGCTGAGATTTTTGTGAAAAGCAGGGAGAGTGAAGAAATGCTTCTGGCTTTTCTTGTTTCAACCACCGAACTTGGGAAAATTGATGAGCAGGGCTCGAAATAGGGAGGGAGTTGAAGCCAATTCTATGTGAAAACCCAATTATGTCCTCGACTCGATTATGTTATAAATGATTGTGTCCTCTCTTTTTCTTCCTCCTCCCCTTTTTATTTTTTTATTTTTTTTATTTTTTATACCATAAATAAATAATTTACTCTTGTTCTTTTTTTGCGTTAATAATACTATTCCAACGGCATATATTGATTGAAGGCCCTCTCATTTCTCGTACTTTTCTGTTTGTATAGTTACGGATAAGTCACGTCAATATTTTATATTACTATTTTTTTATCTTATTATCTCTATAAAAATATAATATAAAATGTTGACGTAACTTAACCGTGACTATACAAAACAGAAAGGCACATGAAAAGTAGGAGGACAACTGGATATTGCTTAGAATTTCACTCAAACTTGCTAATTTAAATAAAAAATTACGCGTAGTGTCTAATATCTGTTAATTTTCTGAACTACTTTGTCGTATGTAAAAACAAAATGAATTTGCATATTGCCACTCAGAATTACTATGTTTTGAGATAGGATGGGAAGGGCAAAATGGTACTTACACTCCCAAAATCATGTGGGAGAAGTACACATGGATCCTGTCCACAACTGCAAAATTAATGGGACAAATTTATGTCGACGAATAAAACAAACAACAAAATTAATGACACGTTTCAAAGTTGTACTTAAACGACAAATCACATTATGGGAATATGGGAGAGCCATAGGGGACGTCGTCGTTTTTATACGATTTTCGTAAGCTATAGTTTTTTTGGTTTTCACTCTACCATCTTGTTTGGTCAGTTTTAAGCCTTATGCTTGATGTGAGAACTTAATGAGTGTGAGGAGCTCATGTCTTCACGTTCTTTTTCTTCCTTTTTATAGGAAAATATTTCATGGCTTAGGGTATTATATTGTCAGATTTACTCGATGGAATATGGACCGTCAGATGTGTGATGTTTTAAGTTTCATTTTCATTTTCATGAATGTACTCACATATTGTTGTTGATTACATAAAAGCCCAACTGATTTCAAGATACGTCAAAAATTTTGAATTGACTTCTTGTTGTGAGTTGAAATTCGTATATGTATTTACGTTTTACTTTCTTAAATTATGAGTCAAATAGATATACGAGAATAGATTCCCGATTACACGGTCACACCCAAATGTTTATTCAAAAGAGGTTAGTAACTTAATACTGTTGGAGTCATACAATTTTCTTGTAAACCATGACAAAACCAACCAACCAAGTTCCCCAAAATCTCTTTATCTTGTTCAGCTTTGAATAAATTGCCCCTTAGTTTCTGTAAAGATAAATTTGGGTGGATTTGGGCCTTGGAAGCGGGCTTTCGGGTTTTCCTGGACTGGGGAAAAGGCAAAGATGAAAGCTTGGGTGGGCTTAGAACTTATGGGCTATAACATTATTTAAGAAAATTTAAAGGGATATTTGCAGGCACAAGTTTGACATTTCTGAAGGTAATCCGAATTGGGAGTATGGAATTCGGAAATTGAATTGATATTCATTCATGAAATTTTTTGGATTGGAGTTGCAAACATGAATTTTTTTTTTATCTGATTAGGCCGAAAAATCAAGCAATAGTGATGTTTAGCATTAAAAATAAAAACCGTCACTATGACATCTTCATGTTTAAAAGTTGTTCAGAAAATATACATGCGAAGTTTTTTCGATGATCCTTTGAATACTTGGTATGGATCCTTTTTGTGTTTCGCAAGTGTTTGATGTAATACATGTTAGTCATATCTCGACAAAACTCTGCAGGTTACGTCGAGAACACTCGACAAATTCTCTTCATAACACTCATCATATTGCTTCAATATATGTTGATATATGTTGACATATTTAAAAACTTTAATTGACTTCGTCGTTGCTTCAGCATGCAATGTATGTATGTACCAACATCATTCATGAATCATTGAAAATTTTTTTTCTTAGTCGCTCATATATATATCATATGTAAATGTGGTTTGCCTTGTAATAGAAAAATATGAAGGGCATTGCATGCATATCAAAAGACCGAATATATTATTGGTAGAAAATGAATTTCGTGCAAAATTGTTAATTAAATAATGAGGATTTCAGCAATCATGGTTGCCAGCGAATATTTACCACTGAAATTACAAATTAAATCACTAGGATTAATTAAATTAAGAACACAGTCAATGCCCCTAATCCTTATAATTATAAGATGGTAATCGAGTTCGAGCAAGATGTTGAGAATGAATCTCATATTAATGAAAAAATGAATCTTGCATGTGTTTATATGTAGTTGAATTATTCTTTATATTATTAAATGATTTTATGAAAAAACCTCAATTTCTTCACAGAACCACTTATGCTACACAACCAACGAAATCAAAGCAATGCAGAGTCGCATGAGCCCTGCTACGTTGCGAAATCACGTTATTAAATTATCAATCACACTATTACATTAGCCTTTGGAAGGATTTTCTCCCTTTTATGCATTGAGGTTAATCAGCATTATTATTTTGACTTACTAATTAATCAGCTGTGCTTTGCATTGCAAAGTTGTTCTCAATTGCATCTGTGTCTTTTGAGCGCAATCAATGCAAGAGCTTTATTGGTAGAGGGACAAACTTTTTTTAGTCACATCATTACACATATCAAATAATGATTGAACTCACACCAACTTTAGGAAAGACTTTTTTATTATGGTTAGAACACATAACAGAATACCACATATCATTGTATAAGTAGAAGAAAAAAAATCTTATAATTATATAATAATATGTTGTGTTTCATCCCATATGTCATGCACATTAAAAAATCTCTCCAACTTCACATAAGCCGCCTTCCGATTTTAGAGGGATTTTATAGAAATACATATGAGTTGGGTTGAACTTAATTTCCCCTTTGTGCTTAATTTGGTACGTTTACGTATTTGAGCATTAACAAGATTTTGATTTGTGGCTATGAAACTTTACGAAGGCACTATGCATATGAATTGTGCTAACCATAGCAAATAGCCTGGTGAGGGCACAAATTTTGGCTCCTAAAATATCAAAAAAAGGAAGGTTTCGGGTTTGAGGCTCCAAGCTGGTGAGTCTGCTCGACCTTGGCCAATGAGAGGGTGAAATGTCTTTGTGAGTCTTTCAGCCCCCATAATTGATGGATAACCGTAATTTGCCACCAGTTATCCTCATTTTTAAAATAAAAAGGGTATATGAATTTTGCTTTAAATTGTTCTTATATGAAAATAAAAATTGTCGTGTGTATTACTCAACAAAAACAAAAACAAAAAAATTAAGGGAACTTTGACAAAAAGTTTCTAGTACTGTTCATTTTAAGAAAAAAAATCATATTTTTACATTAAAAAATTAATTCTGATACTATTCATTTTACTTTTTATTTTATTTTCATCGTTCAAGTTCTTTTCATTAATTTTTTTAAAATTTAAAGCATGATAGAAGGTAGTGCCACTTGGCAGAGAGCATCGAGTGACGCGCCGGCTTACAGGACTATTGACTTTATTCTTCGCCGGCGACGACCACCACCAGCGTACAAAGAACAACACCCCAAACCCAACTAAACTACCCGAAAAAGAAATACAACTAACCAACAATTTTCTGTATCCGAAAACAAAACGAACATAAATTTTTATACTTTAAAATTCCCAAACATTGCTTTCTCTAGAAGCCATCATTTTTGCCCTCTTTCCTTCTTCTTCTCGTTCTTCTATTTTGTCCCTTTTTCTTGCTTTTTTTCAAACCCCAAAATCCCTTTTTTCAACGGCAGAGCTGGCGCTCAGCTCGCATTTTACATAACCCAGTTTTCAGAATCCCCCTGAAGCCTATTTGGCAGTGCTGATTTTCTCACAAGTGCTTTTATTCTGTTTCTTGAAGACGCTCACGGGTTATCCATGGACAGAGTCGGACTTGGACCCCTCCATTTAATCCCAATCTGTACGTTTTTTCCCAAGCAACAATTCTCTCTCTGAATCTTTGTTTTTATTTTTTTTGGGTTTTTGGGGTGGGTTTTGAATCGTTAAAGAAGAATGAGTCAACTCAGTCTGTTATTGCAGGAAGCGGTGCGGCGGGAGAGGGCGGCGAGGACGGTCCTCGAGGTTCTGAGAGAGCAAATGGACGACGCGGGTGGAGCGAGGGGGGTTTTGGGCAGGCGGAGCTTCAAGCAACGGCTGAGACTGAACGGGTTCGGATGCTGTGGGGCCACCTGGGGCTTCGGACGGACGGCGGCGATTGGCGCCAGAGAGGATGAGGAAGATCAAGAACCGCAAAATCTTCCGCCACAAGAACGAGTGGTTATAACTGTGCGCCAGGCTGAATCGGTTAATATTTGGAATCCGGATTGCGTTGCTCCGGTTTCGAACGGGTCGGGTATGAATTTAGCTGCCGCTCTGGCAGCCGAGCGACAGTTCCGGGATCCGCAGGATACGGAGGCAGAGGGGTCGGTGGGTCCCGCGGATAATGCAAGGACGGGAACAACGGCACCGGGAACGCCGATGAGAGTGTCGCTGATGAGGCTGCTTGAGGAGACGGAGATGGACGGCTGCGACTCGTTTGGCGGTGGCGCGACGGCGGACAGTGAAAAAGCAGCGGAGGGAGGGATAGGGAATGATTCGATGTGCTGCGTGTGCATGGCAAGGAAAAAAGGCGCGGCTTTCATCCCATGTGGGCACACATTTTGCAGGGTGTGTTCGAGGGAGGTGTGGTTGAATCGAGGTTCCTGTCCCCTCTGCAACCGTTCGATCCTCGAGATCCTTGATATATTCTAATGATCGTCCGATTTGATTGGATAATCGAAGAAAAAACAAAAAACCAGAAAATATTGGATGTGATTGTTTGTGGGAAGATGCCTCGAGATTGGTGCATTGTTGAAACTTTGATGGTGGAATTTTCAATGACTGGAAAATCCAATTCAATTTTTTCACATGTAATATGGGGGTTCTTGAATTTAATTAGTGTTTCCGTGACTCTATTTTTCTGCAACTTGAAAGGTACAATGTGCATTTTGTGTACATTTTTATGGTAATTTTTTTTCTATTATTTTGGAGTTATGTTTTTTGTGAAGGCATTGGTATCTCACGTTGCCAAAACAATTATACATGCGTTTAATTTTCTTAAGTAATAATAAATGTTAGCATAGTCATTTTGTAATAAGTCTGAGTTTCGACCAATACACTTTATATGACTAAGTACAGTATCACTTGTACATTTAATTTAAAGTCACATAATTTTTTTTCTATGTCGCAATGCATTATTATCTTAAAATATCGTCACAATGGTACCAGAAATGTAAATGCATTGTTCTCGTAAAATATATAATATTGACCCGACCTTTGACTGAAGAAGCTAATTGTCAGATAAATACGTTTGATTTCTTTGGAGGCACATGTACAAGGAAGCTTTTGTTAAAACAAAAGCAACTGTCATCTTTTAAATTTGTCGTTAAAAAATAAGCTTGAAACGTTGGCTTTTGTTTGTGTTTCAAGTGGAATCTTGAAGAACATTTGGGGTGGGTTGGACCAACCACAACTACCATCAACTTATAAGTTGGTGGGCAGAAATTGGTGGTTGTGCGAATCCATTTATGTGGGCTTAAGATAATGTGTTATTTTTTCCAAGCCCATACAAAAACGTCCAATGTTGCACAAAGTTGGCCCTAGGTCCTTCGGTTCTATCATCTTCTAATTTACCGCTGGGGATTCAACGGGTTTTTTTTTTTTCCGTACACATTAAAAGTGCATATTTAAGTTACGGATGAGAACAAGGGTCATTGAATTTTGTTAGAACAAACAACATAACAACTCTTGTTCTCACGTGTAGCTTAAATGTGTATACTTCTGGCGTGCATTTGAGAAAGCCTTGAAAATTTCAAACTACCATCAAATCATTATTAAGAAGTTCAACGCGATGTTGTCTCCAAATTAATCAAATACTCTGATGTGCAATAGTAATTTACAGACCTAAATCACGTATGAATAGCATCACGGAATTTGGATCTAGCAATTCGAAAGAGATGCCCTTTTATTAATTATATTTATTTAAAGGAAAATATATTTTTGACCAAAGTAAAGAATATAAGTAAACTTATGATATATCAATCTGCATGGCATCTAAGTATCAAAAGATTCATGTATACAGTTTTCATATAAAAAATGGGGATCATTTTCATGTATATACGTGTATATAGTAAACGAATATAGAGAATGACTTGTACGACACAATGCTATCTAGCTATCTTGCGTTCAACCTATTTTCTCACATGAAAAAAGAATCCAAGTTTTGTTGTATATTTTTGAATTTTTATAAAAAAACACAAAACTCCCTTGTTTTTTTGGCGATGGATTATCTTCTTTTTTTCATTGTTTTTGTTTTAGTACAATAATCACATTATCACATGATTTTATTAACTTACGCATGTATCATAATATGGGTAGACAACTTTACATGGCAAAACAAATTTGATCACAATCTTGTGATATGAATCTTTTCTTCTTCTTTTGTGTTCGAAATGATAATCAAATATGAATCTAGTCGCCCATAACATTGCATGCGGGATGGACCCCATTTATGACTTATCCAAATTCTCAATCACATGACCGAATGAGCAACCCGGTCAAATTCTTCCACGAACAAAGAAGAAAGAATCTCTTCAGGGAGGGTCCACTTTATTATGTGCACTGATCGATTGATATATTACCTCATCACATCAGAGATCTTATACGAGCAATCCTAAAAAGTATAGAAATTGATAATTAGTATTACGGTATAGTGATATTTTATTTATTTATTAATGAGAGATTTTATATTTGATTTTTATTAAAAGTAAACTTGAATCATAATATTGCTAGCTTATTGTGAGGCTTAACTCACTCTCAATCCCTTAATGTAAATAATATATTTTGTTAAAAAAAAAAAATCATAAGCCGTTTATTGAGTACATGATTTTCACACGTGGGGTTCTTAGTAAATTGGTATTATAGATGGGATCCAAAATAACATGTTGCCACGCATGAGACGTTGGTTTGAGTAATGGACAAATACTAGAAAAGAATGAAAACAAAGCAATGTAGCGCAAATTTTGAGTTTTAAAATGTCAAGTGGCGAGTTTTTAGTTTTAAGAAACAAAGAGGGATCAAAATTGAATTCCAAGAAATAAAATGACGACTTTTGAATTTCAAGAACTAACATAAGATTGAAATCGACTTCTAAGAATGTAGCTAAAAATAAACCTAATTCAATAATATGCGGATGATAATAATTGGAGGATGCAAATATATAGAGTAACGTGTCATGCCAACCCAGTGGTACTGGCCCGAACGAAATAGATTGTTCTTTTTAAAACCCATACCTGCAGTATAATGGGATGTGATTGGAGTGGTACCCAGGCTCCGTGACCGACTCAGCTTTACCAGAAAATGATTTTATTTTCTAAATGATTTCTTGTGCACCAGCAACTTTCCATATGTACGGTGAAAGAAAGTTGAGATTAATTGCCAGAAATAATTATAAGTAATACAGTTCGACAACGTTAAGTATGACTTTTTACGTACAAATCAATTGATATCTTACGTCATCTGTTAAATATGGCTAAATAATAAGTAATAGAGAGATTTTGAATGCAGTCCTTATCAATCAATATTATTTAACTAAAATCTTGTTGATTTTCAATTTTTGATATAAGTCTCTAAAATTAATGTGATAATTTATTTTTATTTATGTTACTATATTTTTTAATTAAAAATTGAAATTTATAGTTTTTTATGTTAATGAGATTTTAAATAAAAACTTATAATTTGTGGGATTAAAAATATTAAAATATAAATTATACTATTTTGTGTGTGTATATAAACATGGGTACATTCATCAAAATCAACAAAAAAAATTAGAGAAATGTTATTGGCACTTCAAAAATCTCATTCTACACTCCTCACAAGTTTATTTTTCTTTCCTACTATAGAAAGTTTGGAGTGTAGAATGAGATTTTTGGAGTGCTAATAACAATTCCCAAAAATTATTGTACCAAAGCATAGGTACATTCTTCAAAACCACAAAAAAAAAAAAAAAATATTAGGCTTAATAATATTAGTAAATTTCTTCGATAAAACTTGACACAGATACATTTTCCAAATCAAAGAAAAAAAATGTATCCATGTAAATTTAAAAATGGATTAGAAAAAAATTGAATAGATTTTATATAAAAAAAATGGTACATTTTACATATAACAAATTGGTATATTTAAGAATGGGTACATTTTAAGATTAAAAACTTGAAAAAATTATATGAATGGGTACATATAAGATAAAAAAATTGAAAACATTTTTTAAAAAGACTAATGGGTACAAACTTATTCTATTTTTTTATTTATTTTGGAAATGTTTTGGATTAAAAATTAGTTAGGAGTTTAACAAAGGTGTGAGTATTAAAATCCTATATCAATTATTAATTTTTATTTTAAAAAATTATGCAACTGACATGTAAATTCATTATTACATTAATGCTAGAGACTTGGATCAAAATCTAAAAACTAATAAGATTTTAATCAATGAACATTAGTAACTAGGGACCGGATACTAATTTTTCCTAAATAATACGAAACTGAGATGCCAAATTGATAATGTTAAACTAATCATGCGATGTTATTGTGTATTATATGAATTTACTAAAGTTTTCTATCAATTTGAGTAAATGCATGCATGCACGCATGATGTCTTCATCGAAATTAGCCAATATACGTAAAGCCAACAGAGAAAATACATGGAATTTGGAACGATCGATCCAAAAACCAACAAATTGAGGGTCACTTATATAGATATATGAAGAGGGATCATGTTCCAGTTGTATATGCATGTACTTTGCTCTGATCCCTTAATGGAAAATGCATGAATTCTGAGCTTGATCAATATATATATCTAAGTTCTACACTTTTTTACTTACGTGTGCGTCACTAAGCTTAATTAGCATATGTTTGAACTAAACGACTAAAATGACAAATCAATAAGACCAAACTTTTTTATATTTGGCGTTGCATGCAGTCGTGCAGGTTTGGAACACATTTCTGGGATGATTCATATTCTTAAGGCTTAACTAATGTGTTATCCTTTGAAACTGTTCTCAAGTTTCACATTGCCTTTGAAAGTTATTTGATTTAGGAAACTTTAATGAAAAGCTTTCGATACTATTCACTTTAACGAAAAACCACATTTTTACACTAAAAAAGTAAATTCTGGTACTATTCACTTTACCCTTTATTTTGTCCTTATCGTTAAAACTTAAAGTTTTCAAGCCATTTTCATTAGTTTTCCTTTTGATTTAACGTGCCTTCTAAATCATGTTTTGATGTCCCACTTTACTTCTGCGTTTAAGTTTGTTTAATTTTCTTTTGAGTTATTTAGATATAGACCCCTGTAACTCTTATTTCCTATATAAAAATCCACCTAATTATAAACATCCAAATACAACCCAAATTTAAAAGTGATTGCCATGTAGGAAAGTAATTGACCTATTAATACAAAATATTTACAACTTGTACCACAATATTCAAAATAAATCAATAAATATTATTACTCACCTTAATTACAATGAACAAATAATTTATTGCATATTATTACCCCTAACACACACATATATATACATATATACGTTCAAATGTATATAGTACTACCACAAGCTCAATATATATATATATATATATATATATGCACAGGACTACATTTATGATCAAACATGGTATACTAATTAATCTACCAATATGTAAATTTATGATGAGCAAATAACATATATTTTGTCACATCCCGGCTCGGGCGGGACGACTTCCCGAGCCCGCTCCACCACCGTAGCACGATATTGTCAGCTTTGGGCCCCAACCACGCCCTCACGGTTTTGTTTTTGGGAACTCACACGAGAACTTCCCGATGGGTCACCCATCCTGGGAATGCTCTCGCGCGCTACTCGCTTAACTTCGGAGTTCCCATGGAACCCAAAGCCAGTGAGCTCCTAAAAGGCCTCGTGCTAGGTAGGGATGAGAT